AGACTACCTCGCGAAATGCCACAGGTTTCAGGGAATCTTTACCTTTCGCGCCCGCGAAGTATGTTCCCCCTCCCCCTCCCTCCTTCCCTTCCTCCTCCTACTCTGCCTTCTCCTTCTACCTCTCTCACTCTCCGCCCACCGCAACTCGCCGCGCCGCTTCCACTTTGCCGTTCTATCTGCTTCTCTGCATCTACTTGTCTCTCTCTCCGTCGTACATTCACTCTCTCTTTCTCCTTCGCTTCTGTATCTAGGAGCAATTCGTTGTCTTCCTCCAGCCAGACCCGGTATCGCCCTTTCGCGTATGAACATCTACGTACCGACCAGTTCTCTCCTGTGCCCGCGTTCTCTTTTTATACAGTCACCTATCAGAGGCTCCCTTTTTCTACCTCGTTCTACCTCATCAGCTTATCTTCTTCGTCGTTTTTCAGACATTTCCGTGTCTTCCTCCTTCTGACACAATATCCTCCTCTCACACGTGATCGCGGCGGCTGCGCATCCTTCTGCTTTTCGTTGGTCTGTCACTTGACCCGCCCTTCTTCCCGCTTCCTCTATCCTCTGCATCTACTTCATCAGTTTCTCTACATTTCTTCTCGGCAATCTTCTTGTCCTCGTCAGTCATCTTGTCGCTTCACTCTCCTACCCGTCCCTCCCTGCCTGCCTCTTCCTTCCACAGGAGCCCGCAAAGTTCAACTTTATTCTTACCTTTTATCATCCCGTCGTCCTTCCTTCCTCTCTTTTCAGCCGCTTCTTTGTCCTCCTCTGCCTGTCGATCGCGCCCGTTCTTTCGCGTGTACCGCCTTCCTCTTGCTTCCTTGATCGTCATCCAACATCTCTCCACTCTCCTTTTTTCATTCTACCTTCTGTATCTACCCCGTCATCATCTCTTCTCCTCTTCTCCTTTTCTTCTCCCGCCTGTCTGCTTCTCTTCTCTGGTTTTCTTCCCTTTCATCTGTCACTACGTTACTCCTCCGTTCCTCCCAAGTCGTTTCTTCCTCATCTATATTCTCTCTTCTGCTTCCCTCTCCGTCTACTTTTATTATCTTCCAACTTTTTCCACCTTCTATTGTATTTTCCATCGTATTCCACTTGCCTCTCGCGGTCTTCCTCCACTATTTTAAATTTTCTCCTCTTGCTGTACGCACGTCGGCACGAACGTGCGCGATCGTTTATAATTCGCGAAATACAGCGCGTTATCGCGGGAGTACTCGCGGGAGGCTCGCGCCTTGCGCGAGCACTAAACCGACACGCGCTCCTTTCTATCGATTAAAGGACTCGTCGTACCATTAACCGAGTGGCCGAATGCTGCTGCGACAGCTTCCTCTCGTGGAGCGAATTCCGAATCCATAAGGTCGAACGATGTGGACGGACGTGTGTTGGTCTCAATTTTACGTAATTAATTAACACATCTATGATAAAAATTTTGCACACACGGCCTGCTACGTGGATTGAAGTTCACATCTCTTTCCATCGTCTGTCTCTATTAGGTAAAAGATTAACCTGTAGATTTATGGGATTTAACTCTTTGTAACATTGAATTGTTACTTTACGCTTAATATTTTTATCGCCTCTGCTCACTTTTACAGGTAAATGTTTAATTATCGGCAATTATATAAATGATTAGAGATGACTTTATACGAAGCTATATCATTGCCGTGCGGAGGACTATAGACTCGCGGAAGATTTCCGCCGTTACGATTCGCCGCAGCAGCACAGCCAATATCGCGAAGATATTTCACGCGAATCGGAGATAAACCGGCAGCAGCCGCGCCGTCATCTTCCTTTTACCGCGTTTCGTCCATCTTCTTAATCAGGACCAGCGCACGACTTAATGGGCGTCTCTCTCTCTCTCTCTCTCTCTCTTCTTTCTCTCTCTCTCTCTCTCTCTCTCTCTCTTCTTTCTCTTTCTCGTACGACCGTAATTCGCCATAATTAGCCGTAAAGAAGTGGCTTCTATAAATTATATTGTTGCGCTCGGTTAAGCTTATTACGAGGGTCGAGGGCGACGGACTACCGAAAAGCTAATTCGAGATTATTACGGGCTCCCGTGAAAAATCGTCCGCCGTTTAGAGGTGCCAATTCGTAACGGCAGGACAAACATCGACCCGGTTGTCGCATCCTCATTTCTTGCCAGTCGGAAGCCGCCGGTGGCGCAGGCCAAGGGCGAGAACGAACACGAGCCCTAATTTCGAGATTTTTCGAGAACCATCTAATTCACTATCATCATACAATTTGCCGCTAAATCGAGATTATATGAATCGCTTTTAATTCTATGGCAAATGGTATGTAATATTAATCGTAAAAAAGCCTTCGCGTGCGAACGCACACACGCACACTATGTTACGGGGTGTGTCGCGCCCCGCATAAAATCCGGGCAGAATTCAAGACTTAATATCCGCTTTTTTTTTTTAACGTCAATGAATTCCGCGATTATAGTAACAGCGGGTGGTTGTGCCCGTGGAGATTGAGTCATAATTAAAAACTCGCCGCCCAAAGAGGGTATACTGATTGGACGCAACGTAACTACTTCCTGGATCTCGGGATACTTAGTGGAGCGAGTTGAACTAAGTGGAACGAGAGCCAGTCGGAATAAGACTTTAATTGAAAATCCAAATCATCCACCGACCCGATTCACTCGCCATTTCTATGCAATTAGCGTATAATCGCACCGGTGTAACGTTCATACGACTAATTTATCTATTTCAGCAATAAATGACATTAGCCTTAACTACTGGACGGACAATCAGTGCCAGAGAGAGAGAGAGAGAGAGAGAGAGAGGGAGAGATACATATATAAAACGCAGCGATAAGAGGCGACGTGTTTTTACTACAAATTCGAATCAGTCCTGTTTTCGCCCTACATACGTTTACGGTTACCGTGCGTACCATAGGCGCATAACGTGCCACGATTCTAATGCAATTCATCTATTACGGCAAAAAACAAACGCCGCGCTGTCGGTGCGGCACGAGGATTAATAACGCCTAACGGCCGGGCAATCGTTGCTCGGGGGGAGGAAAAAAGGGAAGAGAGCAGAAGGAGAGAGCACGACGGAAGCAGGGAGCGCGTTTTCGACCGCCCGGAAAGCGTGCGGCCGCGGCCGTTTCTAAGACGCGGCCATAACTGACTATTTATTGCGGGGATTATCACGGGCTTCTGTCTATTCGACGATATTTACGATCTCCGGCCGCCGCGCGAGAGCGCGAGAGCGCGTATCGGCGGCCGCGAGAACGGCGAACGAACGACTTCATTGCAATTGCGCGCCCGGGGGTATTATGGTTAGTCGCGCGCGGGTATTTATAGTAAGGGCTGTTATTAGCGCGGTTAAAACTTTACGGCTAGAGCTGCCTCATTTACGGCCGAGCGGCGCCGTAATCGCATAGTTAGAATTATACGATTACGAGAGCCGGGGCCGGCCGGCACACTATATTATCGTCGATAGCCATTGAAATTCTTTACGCGCGCCCCGTGTAATTCTGCACGAGCGTCAGAGGTAGAGGTTGCGCGGGCAGCGCAGGGAGGCAGGGTTAATTAATAATTATCGAACGCGCGACGTGTCGTTAAGAGGCGAGCGAGTAGCTCTCTCGACCGCACGTGCGCTCAAAGTTTGGCGCCGCGCCGCGCAACGCGCAACGCGCGTTAAGAATCGCGGTGTTAACGTTAACGTGTTACGTGTTAGCACAAGATACTTTGATCGCGCGGTCGAAAGTCCGAAGCGAGAAACAGAGTCAAAATAATTTCATTTTATTGAATAAATCATTAATCGATGTATGATTGATTAAATCAAAGTAATCGATTGAAACAATCGTTATAATCACGGTTTACTCCATGTGAATTTTGATTATTTTAGTCAACCAATATTTCAATCGATTATTCAACACCGCTTAAAAATCCCGCTTTGCGGGTGCAAAAAATATTGAGAAAAATTCGCGTGCCTCGAATTTTCAAAGGCGCATTTGTCTAACGAACGTGAAGAAAGCTCAATACTTACGTCATCCTAAATGTGTATTTATGGAAAGGTGCAGGCATCATCCTCGCGGCAGAAATCACCGGTGTCCTTCCTCATCGCGGCGACAAATTGCACACGGAATTTTCCAGCCGCTTCCAGCGAGTTATTTCGTCGGGCGAGAAGAGAGACCATGGTGATGTTTCCGCGAACGAAGAAATACGATCACTTCTTCTTGCCGCTGACTGACGTGGTGATTGTACGTACCTACAACCGAAAGAAAAAAAATATATATGTCACAAGTGTGTGACAGGCTGTTCGTTCTTCCGCAATATCAGTCCTTTGTTCAGCAGCCGGCGCGACAAGGACAATAAATGTGCCAACTGATTCAGGAATTACGCGTCGTCGGTGTACTATGCAAGGATTATAAAGGATTTACTGGCGGTTTGCGGATTTTCCATCTTCGAAATCGCAGACTGATTCCGATATTTGAATTTTCGAATTTCCGAAAATTATCCACGATCTATCAACATGAGAGTACCACAAATTATTTCAAATTAATTCCCTTAAATGAATTTTCATTTTGATTTATTTCGAAAAAATTTAATGTCAAAAGAATTGAAATAACGTTATATCGTTGATAATATTACACTACTTTTCCAAATCAATACCAATTGCAATATATAACATTATTCGAATATTGTTGGCATTCAATTTATGGCAAGTAGATTTTGAACGTTTTTCAGAAATATATCCCAAAATTTTTTAATTCTCTCCTATTCCATTTTACGAAAAAAGAACGTCGACTCTTCCGTTAAAACATTCAGGAAGAAAAGACAAAATTTAATTCCATAATAAAAGAATTGCAATATTTTTGAGTAAGTGTTTTAAAATATATGTTAAAACAAATGTCATGTGTGTTATTTTTTTCACCATCATTATTTATATGATATAATTATATATTTTACATATGTCTATATTTTATATCATAGAAGAGACCTTTAAAATGACTTCGAATCACTGCTATAAAATATCACATTAAATACGAGAAACTATCAAGTCTAAAATTCTTAAAATCAACCCCTGATCTCGCGAAAATCAGAAATTCAATCTCGCGAAACGTTACATGTCAACCGCATTTAAATCTTCATTTTTACGGAAAATACGTGACGTTATCTTTGATAGAAAATTCCGTTCAAAGGAAACGTCTAGTCGGTCTCATTGATGTCTTAATGCGGAACCTGCTTGGCACGTTCTTAAAAATGTATACCGATTATAATCGCATTTATCACGAGCGCGGATTTTAGATGTTGCTGCGATAGTGAGGGGAATTATAGTAGAGACTGAGATAATATCACGTAATCGGCGCTACTTGCGTATAATTATACTGCCGCCAACATGCTATCATTTTTTGCACAATACATTTTCATGAAACGGGTGTTACCTACATCGCAGTTATTATTAAACGCCAAGCACTGCGCCGTAGAACCTTTCGCCGCTGACGCCTTTCTGACTACTTGCGAAACGATCTCTATTTCACGGAAGCCGCCTAAATTCTTCCAATATACATCGTGAATAAATTCATTTTGGAAATTTTACTTCTTATTAATCTATTTCATCGAAAATCGCGATTTAACACACCAATTGGGTCAATTGATTACACAGTCAAGTGACGATAGGATAACGTGTATAAGGAATGTAGAATCAATTATTTATTCAACAATAACGGCACCAAACCGGCGCTCAAGGCGACGCTTAAAATCGTAATGTACATACAGAATCATATAATATGTACATCATAACAAAAATATTTAACGCTCTAATAATTATATAACAATGTATCCTAATCTAATATCTTGTGTTGTTTCATTTTAGAATATACAGGCAGTAATACTTTTTATTGTGTCTAAACCAGGAGAGGTCGCAAAGTTTCCTTACATTACTTTGGATCAATTTGTGCACATCTCAATTTTAGTAAAAGTTTTCTTCTTTAAATAGACAGCTTATTTCATGTTGTACTGTCATCTTGTATTTCATGTTATTCGGAATTTTATAGAGTAATTTTATAGAGTAATTGGTAAATGTAATAGTAGGCAAATGTGATTATTTTATATCCCTTGATAAAATATAATTCGATTAAAAAATATCATATTACTTTGCATTATATTGTTGCGCATTAATAAGGCCTTTTAATTATTTTATGTCAAAGATGAAGAACACATTCTTTCATATACTTAAATACTTTTTGCTTAGACTTGAGAATGACCTCTCTCAGGTTAATAACTATAAGTCTCTAATGTGCTATGTTTCATTACTCATGCTTAATTCCACATAGCGGTGCTTTTGGATGGTATCCAGTATATTTTCTATATGTTATATCCATAGTCCTTTCCACAGCATGATCTATAGGATGGATTATGAAAGGTATGGACACTAAGCCGACGATTGTTGAGATCCAAGGTTTCCTCAGAACCACATTTGTACTTTTTCTCTGTGCAAACTGAACTGCTGCACAAATTCGATTTATGGTAAAACCAGGAACTATTATAGATGCAAATGCCTGCCATATCAGAGTATCTGATGTGGACAACAAGACATTTTTATTTCTTTGTGAGCTGGTATCAACCTATAATTACCAATTATCAACCAATTATCGATTACTTCAGTAATTATCATTAATTAATTAAAGTTGTAAGTCATGACATACTTTGTAGACATGTGTACCCTTGTGAACAGTGTCGGCAAGCACATATCCACTTGACACCGCATAACTGAACCATACAATAGACTTTGGTACTAAGCTTCTAAATGCCTCGCCAACCTCGTTCGCATAACCTAAAGGAATATAAGTACTTGGTCAGTTTAACAAATGTTGATACATTATGTAATTTCCTTGTAATATATAATATCATTGTTATGCAACATATTGAAAATTAAATATAGTTTCACTGATCTTATTTTACATATGATTAGAAAATATGACAGAAACATAGAAAATCTCAATAACAGCATATAATAAATTGCTTATATTTACCTAAATATCTCACATATGTATCCCGGTACAAATCCACCTCTTCCTGATTCTTCATTACAAAATTTTTAAGTTTTCAACTACCTTTCGAACAATGACATAACCTATAGCAATTTGCCACAATGACTCTTCGAAACGCTCAATGTCATATCAATTTTTAATACATTGACATAACCGTGATATATTCAATTATGAAAAATACATCTTTTTTGTCTGTTTTTTCTAAATATTTAGAGTATCTTTCTCCAGAATAACGTAATTTACATTCCGCTTAAGAAATTAAATATCACAAAACAAATTACAAATACGAATATAAATTTTTTCTTTCTTTCTTTCTCTCAACCAGGTGTCTAAACAGAATGCAACTAATGTACTCTAGGGAATTTTGTGGAATCGATAAACTCGCAATACGATATATATCGAATTATATATCGATTTTTGAGTTTAAAATTCCAAAGTCTGTTAAAATTAGCAAATTATATCAGTTGTAAAATAATTATTGCAATCAATCCCACAATATTTTGTATACTTATGCACAAATTGTGTTTGACCTCTCAATATCACACTCATGCTGTTAAATTATTGATATAATTATAATAAAATTATATGATTTATACAATTATTCGTATTAATTTACGAATAATTTAAGAGCTTTTAAGTAACTTGGAAATTACAGATCCATCAATATACCAAGCCTAACCTATAATTCAAACTTTCGATCGCAGATCGTTAGAGATAATATTCATTTGTTATTCCAAATAACGATTATCGTTCAGAAGCTAAATGTCAATTCGCACAATCATTACTTGTAATTCTACATGTTACATACTTCTCCATCATCTTATTTCCCTTATTTCTCCTACTTTTTGCAAATGCCTGCCTTATTCTTCTTCGTTCTTCATGTACTGTTCAAAATGTTTAGAATGGCGACCGCTCTGATCGTCCGCTTGATAGGTGACATAACCTCACTTTTAGTCGTCTCGCGATGACGAGATGCGCGTTCTCGCTCGCGAGTGATAACTCGCGACGCGATCGGCTAGGTATGGCGGGGCCGTAATTAAATTTTATTCATCATCAGCGATAAACCGCCAGCGTATGCCGTTGAACACGTAGCCGTTGTCTAGGATGATGATCGTCGACCTGGACTACACGAGGCACTACTTGAGCCTGCAGATCAACGAGATCGTCTGTTGGTGGTGGTATTATATTAGAGAAATGTCGTGGCAGCTGCTGATCGCCCTGTTGGCGTACCTCTGTGTCTGTATCTTCCTCTATACTCTTCTCAAAAGAGTGGGCCATGCTGCCTGGCAACTACCAGGTCCACCTAGCAAACTCCTTCTGGTCACTGCTCATCCCGATGACGAGGTGATGTTCTTCGGACCTATGGTCTACTGGCTAACGCGTTCTAAGGTCACAGAGATCTACTTGCTGTGCTTATCAATGGGTACATGTCTCACCAGTGACCTATCCTAGACTCGTGTCCAGAATCATAAGCGCATGATATGTAATACCAACAGGAATATTGACAGATTAAATGTCACTCAAATGCTGTGTCTATTGATGTTTACCAGTGTGCTTGCAGGTGGAGATAGAAGGAGGATAGATGAGCTGTGGGCCTGTGCAAAGGTCTTAGGCATCCCAGAGTCTAATGTAACAATTATTATGTAAGTGTGTTCAACAAAACATCACTTGCAAGCATTCACATTTGCATTATTTACGTGTGTAAAGATATATCTTGTAGGATCATATTTGATTTTGATTGCATATTAAACACTAAATGTATTTGTTTAATTTTGATATATATACATGTCGACCATATTTCTTATGGCAAACTATATAAAACTAAAGGTTGAACAATTTTATTTAGTGTTAAATATGCAATAAAAATATGATAAGACAATAGTATCTAACTCCTCAATCATAGTTTAATAAACAAATGCACAGGAGTAGCGAGTTACCAGACAACCAGGCTGTACAGTGGCCAACAGATGAAGTGGCGGAGAGTATTTTACAATACATAGAGATCTACAAGATTAATGCCGTCGTAACATTCGATAAATATGGTGTAAGCCGGCATAAGAATCATATCTCCTTGTACTTTGCAATTGCTGCATTGTGCATAGAGAAGAAAGTACCTCCTTGTCAGTATCAACTCACTAAATTGCTATGTCAAATGTATCATCAGTTCAATCTAATAAATTATCACTTTTCAGATTGTAAGTTATATGTGTTAGAATCCGTTAACATAATCAGGAAATACATTCAACTCCTGGACTTGCCCATCAGCTTACTCTCAGCCCCGTATTGGTATCTGGTGACACGCGAACAAAGGCGTATAATCAAAGTATAGCGTCATAGCGTTCTATTTTGTTAGAGAAAAATCGTTAATTGAATGTGTTTTGTTTTGTTGCAGAAGGCTATGACTGCACACAAGTCTCAATACGTGTGGTACCGGAAATTATACATGATTTTTTCGCGATATACATTCATCAATACCCTCCAAGAAGTCAGCGCTCTCGATTTGGAGTTAGATCTCCAATTTGATGATGACTGAACACGTCCACGAACAAATATTTGTACAAAATATGTAATTAACGATTATTCTGTATATACTTTGTCTACCGATAAATACACTAATTAATGTACATTATATACACAATGAAAATCACATGAAAGCTACGGAGACTTTTGAAATACGTGCAGGAACGTACCTTAAGCAGGAAATATTTTTTTATTCGTAACTAGTAGAATATACATCGTAGTTATACTTCCAAACGAGAATGCGGCACGTAGCTTTCCTGTCTATAACAATAAATCAGCTTTTTTCCCTCGCAAGTAGTGTGTACCGTCGTTTTCACCTTCTCTATTACAACCTTTCGTATAGGTACTACTACATCGCGTGAATCCAAACGAAATGTCTCATTTGATATGTACTTGTCAGGTGTGTAAGTGAATGTATGTTGTGTATACGTGTGTATAATAAAATCTACTTAGAATAATCATAGATGAAAGTTTGTGTTCTCTTCTAAATTTGAGTTGTGACACTTTACGTAGGTCGATGTTCATTGTAAGTTTGACATAGGTTTACCTTCATTGTCAAATTATTTGAGCAAGTGATAATATGTCACCAGTCGTATTTACGTGATTAAATGTATACGATTGTTTCAATCGCATCTCAATGTTGTAACGCATATGATATAAGTGATCAACTTTTCGCCGAACATTTTCTTATAGCCCTTCCTTTATATTCTTTTTTCTTTTATAGTTTGGCACAATAACGTGCATAGAAGAATTTCTCTCTTTCTCTCTGATAATCTATAGCAGAATCTGTTTTTCTTTACATTTCGAAAAAATATATATTGCTCTGTTCATAACAAGTCGATATTATATGTATATGAATAGAGTAAAGAATCTACGAATATATAGATATATATAGATATTCTTCCATATGCACAAAATTACAGCATTTTTTTGTAACATTTAATTCCCAGAGAAAATAGCGGAATTCCCTACTGCAGAAATCTTTGTAATTATCTTTGTAATTGCACAAACGACATAAATATACCTTAATAAGCATGATGGGAAAATATTCCATAAAATAGTTCGATTAACGATTATATTTAAAAACAATTGCGATGCACGCAACAGTCGTGTCATTTTAATATTTGATTAAAATATCTTAACGAATGATTGTCTCTTTTATTATTATTCGATTAATTCTTTATTTTCCCAGCATGCTTCAAATATCTGGAATGTAAAATATGTTTTACTTGTGTGTGTCTCTCTTGTTCTCTTTTTCTCTATTATGTAAACGTATGTATATATATATATATAAAAAGAGAAAAATCTTGTAAAAAAATCTCAATACCAAAAAGGTCATAAATAGTTAATTCAGTCCGCGAAAATGGTTATAGCCTTAACACCGACAGATCAGATCGGCAACAATTAGACGTTGCAAATACTTGCATAACACTTATAGTACACGCACACAGCGCATTTGTGCGTATACCGAAATAAAATAAAATGGCTATATACCCAGAAAGAAATCGTGCGCCATAATCTCGCACGTTGTCGGATTCAAAGTACCTATAGTTTTTCCCTAATATTACATACTGAAGGCGAATTAAGGAAATATCGTCATAGAGATGTAAAATTTTCCCTTTCGGGCAAAATTTCATGATCGACTTGATTTGCGCTTCAAGACGAAAATTATACGTACGACAAATTTAATAAAATTCTCTTCAGCTTTCAGTAAGATGAAATAAATTCTTACACGATGTCAGTTAAAATGGACGGCACAAAATGTTCCCGCAAGATCCTCCATGATCGAGTAGACTACCGCGGCACATAGACCGACGAGCGGAATACCGAATTTAGGTACATAGAGAAAAGGAGTAGTACCACCTGGAAGAGATTTCCAATCGGGCGCAAGGATTCCACGTGTGTCCCGGAAGGCAACGGAGAGGGACAACAGGCTCCTTACAAGGGGTTCATGGCGAAGATCTCGCGGGCCGTATCCTAAAACCTATCTTTACCGCGATGAGAGCCTAAAGTGCCCATTCCTGGTTGAGATGAGTCCGGGTCAGCTGCGTCTTGCAAATACTGCAGCTCCTGCAGTTCCTGGAACTTCTCGTGATCGCGTATATGTGCGTAGTTGGCCGACAGGCACATGAGATAGTGTATTAGGCTCAAAATCACTAGCATGGCTGCCACTGTCGCCAAGATGAACATCACCTCGGCTTTTTCTACAAAGTCCTTGCAAAACAGCTTAACTTCCTGCGGTTCGCATACTTGCATATCCTGCACCCGAGTATTATTCGGAAATAGAAAGCCTAAAAATTAGAATTATATGAAATTTCGACATTTTATTAGTCTTAAGCATAAAACAAGAGATAAAATAAAAAGCAGCTATGCTTTACAATTATGAAATAAAAAAGAATACACATTTTATACTTAAAAGAGATATCCTAGTTCTAAAGTGTACGCAACTCTAATCAGCATGTATAAAAACTTACTGAATTGAGTAAAATCGATGCAATCATCAAGAGACTGGACTCGCGGATTGCTGCACAGACCCCAGAATATAGTAAATATTAGCGTGGTAATAACCAGAAATGCAAATATCAGAAGCCAAGCCAATTGTAGGATATAAATGATAGTCATAAACTGAAAAGGAAAAATACATCACAATACATCGTTAAAATAACTCTCAGTTGTCACATAATCTTTTTTGTTGATATCACTGAAAAATATGAAGACTTTTACTTCAAATACTTACGACAGCACAAGAGATACGTCCACCCACTCTAGATCTCCATGCACGATAGACTTTGTGCCTTGTAGCACCAGTTGCAAGACACCCAACGCACAAAATCATAAATCCTAAAGCTGCCATACATGCTCCAATGGATGCAAATACCAGTTGCATTGCTTCCAACCATCCGAGGTGCAGATGGAATACCTAATTAATTCATTTTGTAACATAAGATTTGCAAAATCTTCAAAATATATTCTAGAACAGTCTAATAAGCAAATAAATGATTTACCTGATCCATCATAAGAGCACATAATGTAGCACCTCTATACATAGTACCGCAGAAAATTCCAACTCCCAAACAACACATTATGGTCGCTATGAGAGTTGCGTATGGCACTCTGGCCATACATTCGTTACACATGTTCCCTGAAAAAAAAAAGCAGATAAATTACAATGTATTATCTTAATTATAGTGATATTGCAATACTATATATAAATATATAGTATTGCAATACATATAATCGTAAATAAATTATGTGATATATAAGTATATGTAAATAACACACATTGTTGCATAATAAATTATTCATTAATAGATAACCAAAAATAGTTAAACAAAAAATGTTGCAATCTTTGCTGTAGTTGTATCTATTATGATAAAATGTATCTTGTACTTTCATTATCTATTTTAATGCTATTCACAAATACACTTACTACATGTTCGTTCCTCCGTGTCAAGACCATGGAGACTACGTTCAGAAAATCTGTCTATACTAACATTACTTGCAAATTGGTTACGCAGAGGTAAACTTTCCCTGGCATGTAACTCACGTAGTCTAACCATTTTGTAATACAATCAAACAAATTATAGAGTGAATGACTAGATAATGAAAGTAAAGAAGAAATAACGTAGGACACGTAATGTAATATGGGCGTGTTGATAGTGACTAAATTGACAAATGACGATGATGACTAATCACTTATCTATATCTATAGGAAAGTCAGATAACGCTAACCACATGCCGCGATATATGTGCGGTATCAGTTCATTCACAAACTTGACAGCGTAAACACGCCGTAGTAGCTTAACAGAAATAATTAGAGCGTGACGTTTATTATTATCGACGTCCGTAATTATTTCATCATTCTGACAGAAACATCTTTCGAAAATAGCATACGAAACAGAAATTCTATGTATTACGATTTTTACATTATGAGGTTAGTAATTAAATTAGGAAAAAAGATACGGTAAAGAGTTAAATCAACTTAACAAAGGACAATTGTACCGATTAAGCAATTAACCTCGGTTGAGCAACTTTAGTACTTCCTGTCTTTCAATGGACTATTAATACGCTAGCACAAGCTTTAACCAATTTTCTATTACTTTTCGTTCGTATAAAAATGGTTACAATTTATCGATTAAACATCATTTATCTTTCGTTAATGATCGTATGATTAAGGACCACGTAATCAATTTTATAGTCATTAATAACCACTTAACAGTTCGTTAACAATGATTTATCAGTTCGCCGACATCACGTAACGAATAATAACAAAAAAATGAGAGTCGCATGAAACATGTATAAAATTAATACAACAGACTTACCCATATTTATAACGCGTCTTTCCCGTTAAGGTTAGAAGTGCTCGCGGAGCAACAATGGACAGCGCCCGTTCACGTTGCGAATTCCGCGATTACAGTATGGTCCCAGGAAAGCGTCGTTAATTAGCGCACTGCAATTGCACGTCGCTCAACCGCGGCAGCGAAGGGCATATTCAATTAGCACTCTCGATCACTGATCACAGAAAAAGAAATAATTTACAAATGTTCTAAACTCGATGTAATAGATCAAACTTCGGGAATCTAACTTACGGTATTCAGATTTTTTCTTGACAGATACACTTCGCGTCACGTCACTCGCTTGTTTACTATCTGTCAGAGTCACCCCGAAACAATAGTCTGACAGTCTAATCAATCACTTGTGAGCACAGCTTCCGGCTCCACAGATAATCTCTGCAGAACAATCTTATCGATTTTATCACGCACGTCTGTCGAGAGAGACAGTGGCTTGGGGATTATGAAGGACAGTTGACTTCTGTATGGAACGGTCACGGGGAACAACGGTTCAATATGGCGCATACAAGCACGCTTGTGACTGGGTGAATGGGATCGTTGCCCTCGCGGGGGATTGTAGGGCGCGTCGTAGCAACCGCTCACTGGAAAACGTAATTCCCTTCAATGGAACAACGTCCCAGGATCGATAGGAATGATAATGACCAGCTATGACCCCGATTTGACAAAGTTACAATGAACGGTAACGCAAGATACTTATATCTCTGTCAGCAGCTCAGATAGATCTTAAGAACACAATTTATCTTTTCTCACAATTTTTCCGAGCCATTGAGAAACTGACGAGACGTGTAATCTTCTCGTGTAATTTACATTATTCTTGATAAAATATATAAATTATCACATTTATATGTATTTCTAATTGCATTCACGTTCTAATTGAGCCATCTCTTTGTACATTATTAAGCTTTATCATTTTTCCTTAATCATTCCTTTCAGCTATACTTTCTACATTTAAACAAATTGAGATAGATTTAAATGTTGTATAAAAGATAACAGTATAAAAAGTAAAGCTAATGAATGATCTATTAATATTATGACCATTGGAAAGTTGTTACAAATATACATAAAATATGAAATTATTTATATAATATATATATACAGGATGTTTGAAAGCTTATCATACAGACGAAAGTTGGAGATAGATTGGGTGTAGCCGAGAAGAAAAGTCACGTACCATAATGTCAAATTGGCAATAGTTATCGAGTTATTAATTTAAACATGTGAGCCAATGAGCGCGTAGAGAACGCTGGGCGGCTGCGGTAAGCACGTAAACATTTGGTATAGGCGGAATCAACGAGCGTCGATAGGCAAGCGCGCGCGGCGAGAGGCAACCGTAAGCGACATTGGCTCATTAGCTCATTGGCTCACATGTTTCAATTAATAACTCGATAACTATTGTCAATTTGACATTATGGTACATGACTTTTGTTCTCGGCTACACCCAATCTATCAGTACACAAAATATTAATGATCATATTCCGGACACGCTGTATATATATATATGTATATAATATGTTTTACTCTATATCAATTTTAAATGTATATTTAGGCGTCTGTAGATGTGCTTCATTATTCAGTTTAAAATATAAAATATTTTTCCTCTGTTAATATCTACTATCTATCTATTTTTGCTTTTAACGAGAGAGGTAACAAATTTTGTTTCATAGAGTTTTTTTATATATAATGGAAAAAATTTCCAATTCTCATTTGTATAAAAATTATTTTCAGATCTCTCGACAATAATTTGCCTCTTTCTAAGGTAAAATTGTCTAAATTTGAAAATAAATTTCGTTCCTTAAATAAAATCTTTCATCTCCATTAGAATGGTTAGGCTTATCTTTTTTTTATCTTTCTTCTTATGATTTTCTCTAGCTAGATTGAATATTTATGTATACTAAAACAAAAATTCTACCCCTTTGCATACAAAGATTCTTTGCATACAATCTATACAATAAGTCACAAGAGCAGCAGAGATAATATAATCAGCAGCTCTTTATTATTGTATACTTAAAAAAAAAAAATTAAGAAACTATATTTTAAAATTCGTATAAACTAATTTACAAATATACGGTAAGTTTGCGGTCTATACAGACAAATGCGATTTCTCAGTTGTAATATACAAAATATTCAATATTTTGACATGGAGCTACCGAATGCCTTTGTGCTTTGGTTGAATGAGATACTTGATGACCGTCGGCAATTGACGCAGTTTCTCTTGTACTGAGTACGGTACCTCCAAATTTTGTTGGCGATGTTTATTATATCGTACAACATCGCCGTTATTGCTTTCGTATGTAAAACCGCCGCCATGATTTTGCGGATTCATCTGCAACAAGTCACGATTGTTGATAAAATACAACAATACAAACCAACATTCCTATCATTAAATAACCTGTTATTAAAGTAAACTAAATGATAAACTACATTATATAACATTCGATAATTAGAGAAGATTAATGAATTATTATTACGTATATATAACTTACAGTTAAAGCGGATCCATCCTTGTAATCAATCCTAATATCTCCGGATGTAAATTGCGTAGCAAAGCCGATACCTGGCACTGCTACTTTGTCTACATTATTATTAGAACTATGTATGGAGTTCGTTTTACGCGACCTGGAAGTCACTGTCGAGACGACGGAGCAGGAAGCGTCAAAAGATGGTAACTGTAAGAAATTTCACATCTCAGAAATGGAAAAATATAATTTTTCAATTTATAGAAATCTTTTTCGTTACTTACAATGGGAGTACTATTCGTACGCGAAATGTTTTCCTTTCCCTGCAAGTAGGGAGCATCATTCAGAGCCGCGGTAAGCCTCCGTCCGATTATCGCAGGAAAGCAAGGATGACCAGTAGCCGCTTCTAAAGATGCCAAAGTGGATTCCAATAATAGGCAACGCTGATAGCACTCGGAGTAATGTTCGTAATAATTCTCTAGATGCGCAGGAAACTCGCCTTCAATAAACGTAATATTGTCCTCAGTGATCTTTACAACACCGTCTTCTCGGACAATCTGTAATTGTACACGAATATAAGAAGTAAATGAAATAAAGATATAAAAATAAGATAAAATATAAACATTAAAAAAATTGCATAAAAATATATATTATAATATAAAAATTAAAAATGGATGCAAATTCTATGCAATGATCAAGAAAAATTATCTTGAATGGCTGCTTTTAAAAATTTATCCAAATTATTGTATTGTATTTGTAATTATAATGTATTGTCATTATTTATCATGTGAAAATTACTGACTTTTAATATTCTATATCGCTCTGACGTGACTATTTTATATTACTTTATATTATATTATAAATATTATATGTACAAGTTAGTGTTATTAGAAGATCACTAGCGAGCGTACTTTCATTCCATTGTAAAAGTGCACTTCACAGTTGGGCTGCGGGCCGTTTTCCATAAATAAGCACTTTGAGCGCTGAGTATACAGCGTCAACTTGGAAGTCTGCGCCCGGACCAATTTCACGAAAAGAACAGCGTACATGTATTTTCGATGATGACACGCCGGTAAATTTTCATATGAATAAATACTGTCGGCACCTCGGCTAGGTAACGGTGGCGGTTGCGAACCCACTTCTAAAGCCACGTGCGGTTTATATAGAACAACTCGCAAACCATCGCCCGATATTCTGCACACCTCATTTATCTTTTCCTGCAACATCCAAATTGTACAATATTTGATCTCTTTATGAGTGAGAATATACGTAGTATTATATAAGAGATATATACCTCACGCGTTGCTACATCTTTTCAGATATCGTTATATTCCTCTATGTGTAAAATATGTTTTTACACATATTTCAACTATAATATTACTGTTCATCGTACCTTGCCATTTTGACGCTTGATGAACTCGGTGCAAACTTCTCCGTTGTCCAAAATAGTGAGAATCGCAGTCTTCGTCCTGTGTCTGGTAGGTTGCAATCTATTAGTGTTCAAAGGGGGAACTTGCAATTTTTTGGTTGCTTCCTCGGTTGCTTCCGAATTATGATTCTCGACGCTTTTCTCCCTTCGTTTGTGTCTTTCTACTTTTTGCTTGTTAAAGTCATGCGTGTCGTAATGTTCGTTCTGCGGAAATACCTTGCGGGGCAATGGAACACACGGCAACAAAGAGTTCTCCTTCGCGCAATAATTCGCATATTTTGCTCTGTAGCTCGCGTGCGTTTTCACAATGGGTTCCGATAACGCTTCGCTCCTCACGCTAACCATAGGACCATGCGCCCCGTTCAGCATCATCGGCATCGTAGACATTCTCTCCTCTGATCGAGATCGCATTCTCGGGCGACCGTAGGAGGACAGTGTTCTCCCGACCCCAGAATCCACCATACCGTCGGTCAGGAAACCTTTGCCCGCACCATCTCTTTCCTTTGTTATCGTTGTTAATAATAGAATAATCATTTAAATTATATTTGATATCTTAAATACGCTTAATGTAATAACTTACGTTATGCAGCCTATTCTTTTCTATGTTCGTTATGAACGGATGCTTGATGATATCTCGCAGGTGTATCCTGTCTTTTGGATTTTTCTTCAGTAATTTATCTATCAAATCCTTTGCGTTTTCCGATAAATAGTGTGGCATCACATAGTCAGCCATGACCACTCTAGTTAAAGTACTTTTGACAGCGTCAGTGTCAAAGGGTGGTTTGCCCACCAACAAGGTGTACAACATACAACCTAAGCTCCAAACATCCGCTTCCGGCCCATGCGAGGATCTCGTCGCGACCTAAAAATATCCCACATGTTATTGCAATCTCCATAATTTCACAATCCACCGTTTTTCACAAACAATACTTACTTCGGGCGAAATGTAATTTGGAGTGCCACACATGGTCAAGTGCCTTTCATCTGGTCTACTCAGTTGAGTGGCTAATCCGAAATCCGCAATTTTCTGAAGGCACAGAAATAAAGCATGTTGAACAGATGTTTTAATCTTGGCATTCTCATCAAATTTCAGATATTTTCAAAAATTTGTCTCTTGAAAGTTCTTTATTCTATTTTAATATATACTTAAAAATATATAGCTTTTTTTATCCACTTTTTTCTTACTTTATAAGAAACTATATATATTTCTACGTACCACTTGCATGTCTCTGGTCAAAAGTAAATTAGCTAATGACAAGTCTCTGTGAAGTATCTGGTAAGAATGAAGATAAAGCAAACCTTGTACAACTTGTCTGATTATACGGGCAGCTAGAACAATACCTTTTGATTATAATAATCTGCTGAACATTTTTATGACATACTTCCTTCATACATAGATAATTTTTACATACCATGTTCTTCAGGCAAAGTCTTAGAACCCTGAGCTTTGAGGTAGCGTTGAAGCTCTCCATTATGACACAATTCTAACACTAGATATACATAGTTTGTATCTTCGAAACACATGTATAGTTCCAAGATGGATGGGTGTTTTAAGCGTGAATGAATATTTACTTCCTGATTTACTCTACTCACCATCCCAGCAGCTTGCATCATCTTTTTGTCGATCTATAAGGATAGATAAACAAAAAAGATAAAATATAAATGAACCTACTATTTTATCTCAATATAATAAACTTCATTTTCACATATTGTTTGCAAATAATGTTTTTGTTTTATTTTGTAATATTTTTGTTATTGATACAAGAAATAGAGTAAAGTAATGGTGCAACAACAAATGTTAGATGGAGATATAATTTACTAATCAGAAATTCAACCTATCCAAGTACCATAATTTTAAGAATTGATATTGGTCAAAGTATTGTTTATCCAATATCTCAATCCTTGGCCAAGTTCAATAAGTAAGTTTATATCCACATTTTTTTCAGCTGAAATTATATTTGTCAAAGTTGAAGTTACTCTGCTTTAAAACCGAAACCATCAGCCCATAATGGACCCAAATGTAGCCGGATATGATTGTAGCGTCTCTGTAGCAACGAGAAACGTTTAATTAATTAAATATAGATAAAAGTATCACCATTTTAATCGCAACATCCGTATTGCTGCGGAGACATTTTGCCCGGTAAACGCAGCCGTAGCCTCCTTTACCCAGTAGATTCAACACTTCGTAATCCTGAAACGAAAAACGGAGAATTCATGTTGGTGGCGCGTTGTTACGCAGCAACAGGAGGATGCGCAAACGTGCAATAAGATTTAAAAAGCTAACCTCAATATGCTCGCCGAAGCCCGCCGAGAGCGCCGGCATGATCCGGGGCTTCATGCCGCGCTAAGGATCGCTCGTTGAGCGTCGATGAGCACTCGTCACTCGCGATAATGTCCGTTCCGTTATACAAAATCGGCTAACGCCGATGGCACATACCCGCACGATACTTTATTCAGGAAACGGTAAATACAAACGACACGACGCCCCCGCCATAACAAAACTGACGGATCTCTCGGATTGGTCGAATTTCTCAATGAATAATCAGAGTCATCTGCAGAAGAACGCTGCATTTAATTGCCGCGCCGCTTCGAGACACCACCGATGATATCGTTAATGCAGTTTGCATCTCCATTAGGTCTGTTCGTTTTGTCTGCATTGCTGAACTGGTGCATTAAGTTGAAGTGAGACAAACGTAGGTTTTCTCAGGCCTATTGACTGCGTTTAGCAGAAAAAGCTGTTTTGTAACTAATGTAAAATTTGTGAATCTGATTGGCGCTGTTGATCTCGGCTGAATTTAAGATTACATATCAATCAGATTTACGAATTTCACAATAGTTGCAAAAGAGCTTTTTCTACTGAATGCAGCTATCATTAATTACGTCTTACGTTGGAATCCTAGATATTCACGAACATAACACAGAACGAATTATGCTTTGTTCTTTTTGAACGTTAACTTAATTAGACGCACGTATCCCATTAAACGCGAGTATCAATTAAACGCTAAAAGATTAAAGGGCTTATTTCTTCCCATTTCAATATCTATTTTGTATTACTCTCTTGCAATTAGGATAAAAAGTAAAAATGAAAAAAAGTACGTGTAATATCTTTGAAAATTAGAAGAATAGACAACATTAGCAATAAGTAATTGTGAAATTTCCTAAAAATATATTTATGATGTTGAATTTTGTATTTTACCTAAAATATAGTATATTTTGGCATCAAAAGTAATTTTTTATTAATCAGTTGCTTAATTTCATAGATACTTCTTTACACTAACACTAGATCAATTTTCTTTTTTCGTATTGTATGTATATGTAAAATGTATAAAACACACACACACACACACACACACACACAGTGTTAATATTATATACATAGTTAGCGCACAAATATTAATATCTAATAAGAAAATGTTTCAATGACATATCAATTAATCCGGATAAAATTGTAAGATAAATCAATTCGTATAAGCTTGTCTAAATATAAATCAACGATTAAAAGACTTCCTTGATCTTCTTCGCAATAGAATCCCCGCATGATTTGCGATTAATAAATCTCGTCATATGAGGACTCGATCTGTGCTACGTAACAATCGTAGCTGATATTATTCTCGACAATATCGATCATGCAGACTAACTTCCCCGCACAATCAGTATTCCAGATAAAAAAACAAAACTTCGGGTAAGAAGACTTTCTCTCCTCCACTCCTGACGGAGTACGAAACAGTCCGAAAAGGACTCTCCGCGAGATACCTCTCACAGCTTTCTTCGACGCGAGGAAAGTCGTTTTAGAAGGGATAAGATTTCAGCTCAGTTGGACTTTATCTTATCAAACGAGAGGACCTCTGACCTCACGCGTACACAAAGACCCATCAGGAGACCTTTAGCACCGATCTCTTCCCTCGTCGTTCGACCATTCGTCGGTTGACCGGCCAAACGGAAGCACTTATTTAGTTGACGCCACACACACACTCTCTCTCTCTCTTCGCCTCCAATCAAGCGAGCCGCCGATCCTCACCCCGGTTTATCTCCAACGCCCGGGTAGTTATCACGGATATTTTCACCTCGCGAAAGGTAGAGTGAACAACAACAAGGTCTCCCCGTAAATCTTCGTGAACGACATAGATCTCCGCGTAGATCTGCAAGTAACAGACTCAACGTAACGCGTGAATGGCGCGAAAGTGAAAAGAAAAGAGGTTCTTTGTTATTGGTTAAAGAGGATGGAAATGCAGTGACAACAGTGCCATTTTCCGCGCAAGTTTCGTCCCGCGTGCGAGTACGCGTCAATCAGTGTTAATCAATCGCCATTGTCCATCGTGTGTTGATAGGGTTTCGTAGATCAGTGAAAGTAGTGAGGCGAGAATCTCCGACGACTTGATGGATCGCGTCGAGGGATGAGCAGTGCGGTGATAAAGACGCGTTGATCTTGAATTTGCATGATCTCAGAAGCGGCAAAATCCAGGAGAGATCTTCGAAGGACGAAGAGATGTGTACGAGGGCGATATTATTTCTTGCACTTGTGTGCACAACGCTCACCGTCGCACAGGGAGGTAATTATCGGCAATTTCCGGTAGCTATTGCAGCATCCGGTGTTTCATTAATTTGTGCGTTATCAAGCGACGATGCATTGTAATGGAATAAGAGACTGAGATTATCTGTATTAATGACAACGCAGATGATATAAAAAAAGACACGTTTCACTCTTTCAGTTATCCTCAGTCTTGAAAAATAATTAAGTTTTTATTGTGCGCAATTGTAGGTAATTTTTCTGCATTATATTTATTTTCATATATTTATTATACCTAATAATATTATTTCTCATGTATATTTGTAGGATATATTATTTATACATTAAATAATATTTGTTATATTTGAAAAAAAATTGAAAAAAATGTTTAAAAATACATGTACAAACGAACAAGTTTGATATTTAACATTGTATCATGAATTAATTTTTTTATCGATATTGTGTCATTGAAATATATTTATACTATAAGAAATTGAATAATTTTAATCTGAATTATGTCTCGTAACTTTTCCTCAATATTTTATTTCAATAGATATTTCACATATATTTTACAACATCCTTCTCATTTTTGTTTTACAGAAATTACCAAGGATTCCTCGTTGTGTGGTCGAACTAAATGCAGAGGTAGCTAATGCCATTCACATGCATAAACAGATTCTGTTAACGTTTGCAGTATAGTGTCCCCTTGCGACTAGAATTACACATTCTGAGAATTCGTCGGTGTCGTTTTTTAAGTAACCCTACACCCATATGTTTCATTGGCACCACAGTAACCTTGGAAAGAAGAGACGAAAAGATGTGTCCCTTCTTGCTGAAGCGACACATTTTCCGAAAATTTCTAACATCTTAATTTCTAATAGCAGTCTTTGATCTTTCCTGTTTTTACAAGCTTGACTACGTAATTCTTATTCTTTATCTTTCCAGCTTCTTTATTGCATTTATATTATTATTCATTGCATGCATTTAAAAATGTTTAAAAAAATAATTCGTTTAATTGATTGATCAAATTAATTATTTTACACAGTAGCTTTTACATTTCCTTCTCGCGCATTTCCACATAATTGCATCGCGCTCGTATTTCTAATGCTTAAATAAGAATCAATTGCAAATCTAAGTCGTAATACTCGTGCGTCTTATCGAGCTGAAGAACCCCGACCTTTCCTTCCTAAACGTATATTTGAACTTCGAACGCAAACTTACGTAAATAAAAGAATACGATGAAATATCTTCTGGAAAAACATTATTTGCGAAATCTGATAATCTCTCTGCAATTCAGCATGTGATATATTAACATTTTATTTCTCCACAATTTCCTCGAAATTGATGTCCCTCTCTATGATACATGATTACGCATTGACGTATGCGCATTGATACTAATAGTATAAACAATGTATATATCTTATATACGTCTACAATATTTTTTTACTCTTCTAGTGCCGTTGGAGCAAAAGTTTAAGTATCAAGAAGATGTAAATTACGTATACACGTACTCCGTGGACGTGAGCACGAATCTGGGCTATCAGCCGCTATCCCTTAACTCCCAAAGTAATTCCAGCCTGCACATCGACGCCACTCTGTCCGTACAGTTTACCAGTCCTTGCGAGGGCAACCTGAGGATCCTGAACGCCAGCATCAGCCATGATCGCAGCACGTACAGCGCTGAGTTTCCGGATCGCGCGGGATCCGAGTTCAAGGCTAGCCTTGAACGTTACGTGCTCAGGTTCAGCTTTGACGATGGCGTGATCCATGAACTGTGCCCGGACCGGCGCGAGCCGGTCTGGGCGTTGAACCTGAAGCGCGGTGTGTTGTCAATGCTGCAGAACAGCATGAAGCGCTTCGACGTGGATCACAAGCTGGAGGAGACGGACGTGTACGGCATTTGCGACACGAAGTATCATTTGTACGAAGCCTTGCGGACCAGCCTGATCGTGAAGAAGAGCAAGAATCTGGCGGACTGCCAATTTGGACCCAGATACTTCTCCATCGTGCAGTCGAATCCTTACAGAAGCCCACGACGGCAACAAGGCCAGAACGGATTGCTCAAGTCTCACAGCGAGTGCGACATCACTATCGATCATAATGTGTACGCGAAGGTGGTCTGCGAAGAGACACGGCAGATGCAGCCGCTCTCGAATGGCCAACAAGCCGGTGCCAGGACCGACGCGAGAATGACGCTGAAGTTGGTCCAAGAGACGACGGATATGAGCTCCTTCCATGAGTTCGACGAGTACGAGAATAATCGCGACGAAGACGATAAGGACGACGATAATCTCATCAGATATATTCCTCATATCAAAAGGACCACGTTACTGTATGACCATACGAAGACGTTGAAGACCATGCACGGCGAGCTGCGGACTTCCCGGGATCTGTTGAAGATCATGTGTAGACTGGGGACAAACGCCGCCGAACTGCAGCAGAGATTCTCCGAGACGTTTACAAATTTTGTTCATTCGGCTCGATCCTTGAATTATCCTTCGTTGTCACAGCTCTTTATGAGAGCCAATAGCATTTGCAGGGGTGGAAAGTACGTAATTATCGCGTCTTATTTAGTAATTATTATCATATCATTATTTTTTGTTAGTATTACATATAGCACACACATAACAATGGTATAACAATATATATATATATATATATATATATATATATATATATATATATATATTTAAACAAAGAAAAGAGAGAAAGAAATATTAAAAAGAAATCTTTTTTAATATCTATCTAAATGTGGCGAATGTGGAAATTAGTTTTTTTCTTTCGCGCGATCAATTCGTAATTTCTAGTAATTTCAAAATTTGTGTTCAATACTGCGTTTGTTCATCAGGAATCACATTCTCGCGGCATTACCGTACTTGAATAGCAACGCCGCGGTGAATGTAATGAGGGACCTGATAATGAAGAAATACGTCAATCAGGCGACCATCGACGATTGGATCATCACGTTTGCTCTACTACCGCAACCGGATCACGACACGATTAAGGCCTTATCGCAGTTGCTAGATTTCCAGCATCAGATCCCGCATGTGCAGTTCATCCTCAGCTACTCAACCATCATTCATACGTACTGCAGGAACAACAATCTCGACTGCATCGAACTGGAGGAAGTGAACGCGTTCTTGTCGCATCTTGAGAAGAAAATTTCACAAGGCTGCACACCCCATCTTCATTCTCCCCTCGAGACGAAAGAAACACTGGAAGCTCTGAAAGCGATTGGTAATATGGGACTTGAGACCAAGAGCTTGCGACAAGAGTTGAAGAAGTGCATAGATGACACCGGTGGATTTTTGCCGATGGAAGTTCGCGTCGCCGCCGTCGATGCTCACCGAAGACTGCCATCGTGCGAGGAGACCCGGGACGAATTCTTCCTCGATTATTACCGCAACATAACGCTGGACACGGAAATTCGCATCGCTTCTTACTTGCAGGTGATGCGTTGTCCCGATTACAACGTCATCAAAACCATCAAGCACGCTCTCAAGATGGAGGAAGTCAACCAAGGTTCGTATATTGTTATTCTTAATATCACAGACAAACTTGAATTTGGGAAGCGTGCTTTATCATATCGACGCAAATATATTTGTTATATAGTATTTTATATAATAAATCTCCCTACATGATTAGTAATTTTGATTCTTCGTTTCATAGTTTCTTCTTTTCTCATTCCAATTATTTGCAGTCGGTACTTTTGTGTGGAGCCATTTGTCGAATATCTACAGTTCATCCTCGCCTACTAAAATCGAGATCCAGAGTCTGCTGACGGACAGAGATTTCAGTAACAAGTTCAACAATGACGTTAGGAAGTTCTCGCGCAACTACGACGACTCGTTCTTTTCCGAGGAGTATAATATCGGCGCGAATTATCAGACGAACTTGATTTTCTCGTCGAAATCGTACGTGCCACGATCGCTCATGTTCAACGTGACCGCCGACGTGTTCGGTCAGTCGGTGAATCTGTTTGAAGTCACAGCGCGAATGGAAGGTTTCGAATTTTACGCGGAGAATCTCTTCGGCCCCAATGGCATTTACAGCAACGAGAAGATCCACGGCCACATCCGAGACTTCCTCAGACATTTCCGATCGGCGCCAGAGAGCGAGAATTACTGGAACGGCGTGAAACGGCTGCCAAACGTCATCGATAACAATTTCGCACATCCGAAAGTCAGTTTCGGCTATAAGGTAAAGAAGCGGAATCAAATGAAACTACTTCAAGCTGATCAAACGAACCATACCAAATAGAACCAAATAGAAGCCGATCGAGTAAAACTATTGTCACTAATTAGATAGAGAATAAATTTAACTTTGTTGATGACAGAGAGATCGTCGAAAGATATGCGATTCTTGATGAAAATAAATACAATAGTAATAGTATAGTATTCCGTTCTTTGCAACAGATCTTCGGGAACGAGTTGAAGTTCACGATACTCGACGGCGACGAGCAAGTGAGGACCGCGCTCGCGCAATTCAACCCGTGGCAGAAGATACGGGAGTTCTTGGCCATGCGAGAGATCCTCTACGAAAGGACCACAATGTTCCTGGACTCATCGTACGTCGTGCCGATGGGATCCGGTATGCCGATTCGTTTGGACATCGCCGGCTCCGCTGCCTGCAATCTCAAGGTCTCGAAAACGATGAGGGAAGGCAAGGAGTTCGAGCTCACCGGCAACATCGCTTCCAGCTTAAGCGTCGACACGGTGGGCACGATGACGGTGGACGCTTTCTACAAGTCCGCCGGGCTCAGGCTGCGGACGAATCTCTATTCCTCCGGCTCCGTACAGATTCACCTGAATCTAAACGGCACTCGTCTGGTGCGCGTGAGTTTGGGTTTGCCGAGCCGCAAGATCGAGTTGCTCTCGTTACTCTCTGACGTTGCTCTAATCAAAGGTAACGGCGCCGAGGTTCAAGAGAAGCCGTTGGGCGTGTTGGTGGCTGGGCAAAATCCAAAGAAGTCACGTTATTCTGCGGCCATACTCAAGAGCATCATCAGCAACACCACCTGCAGCTGGACCGCCTTGGACAGACTGATAGGCTTGAAAATGTGCACCGACTATCAGGTCTCGAATGTGACGAAGGAACCTAACGCACCTTATTTCATCTTGAACGGACTCACGCTCTTCAAGGTCTCGTTGAACAAAGCCGATCCGACGGCGAAGAACTATGTTTTCGAGTACAGTTGGAATCAAACTCAGGAGCACAGTACGCTTAAGCTGATGTTCAACACACCTGGCTCGCAAGTGGACAGAGAATTGAGCGCTATCGTCACCTTCGACATGATAAACAACAACGTTACGGTTCTAGTACATTCAGCTGGCAATTCTTTGATTGCTAAAGGCACATATAAGAATTCCGAAAATGAAACATTCCTGGATGTCGGTTTCGATATTAACGGCACGAAACACTTGGACGCCAGCCTAGGATACACGAGGACCAAACTGAATAGCGGTTACGCTTACGATCCCAGGGTATATTTAACCATAAATAGCGAACGTGTTGCTGCCATCTCAGGTTCCGTCAAGGATCTACAGAAGAACAACGCCTCTCAGATCGAAGTAAACCTATCTTTCCAAACTAAGCGAGTATGGAGCAATCTGTCCGGCTACATCCTCACGCGGAACATCAGCGTAACTTGGGATTTGAAGCTGGAGTATCAGCTGCAGCGAATGCCGAAGAGAGAATATTTGATCGTGCAAGGCGCACTCTTCAATCGTTCTTCGAAGACGCTCACGCACAAAGCGGCCGAGATGACCATCAATGCTACCGCTTATCCGCAGCTCAACACCATGATAAACGCCTCGTACCAACAAGCGCTTGGCCATTTAGAACTACAAGCGGAGGTGAACCTCAAACCGAATCCCAAAAACGATCAGGACAAGCTTAAGGCCAAGTTTATCGTCTCCTACTTGAAGATGTACTTCCAGGATGAGGGCACAAAGATGAACGCGATGATAGCTGTGACGAAACCTACCAAGAACTTGGACATCAAAGTAGGAATTAATCACTACAGCCTCGGCGCCGAATCGAAGACCACTTTGCTCATAGGATACGCACCAGGTAAGGAGTACAGATCATAGTTTGTTTAAAAATAAGTATAACATAATAGAGGATAACAGAATGTCTGAATGGACGAACACTAAGTCGGACTCGTGGCTTTTCCTTACAGCTAAAGAAATCAATCTACTCGTTCACGTCATCATGCCACGCGGTATATTATTCTCCATAGAGGGCCACACGAACCTGACGATCCCTAACTACAGCTCGATGCTGCTGAATGTGCGCATCAACGAACGTTTCCGGCACGAGTACGAACTGGACTTCTCGGGCACTTGGTTCAGCGGTCACAATTTCACCGCGCGCGGCGCTTATTCCGATCGATCAATCGCCGCGATGATGAACCATCACCTCAAGATGATCCTCAAGTCACCGAGCTTCGCCAATCTGATCCTGGTCAACTGTTATCTTTATCAGGATCACAGCGATCTTAAGATCAGCCTGTATGCCGAGCAGCCGGATTTCGACAAGTACGCTTTCATGCTGAACCACACGGTGCTGTCAGCAACCAACCTGATGTCCTACGTCGAGGCTAGATATCGGGGCAACGTGTATTCGGTGATGACGAACGTCGACACCACGCGAGAGATTCGACTGGAGTTGCATCTGGATAAATGGCGGGATGTGCATGTGACCTTGACCGGCATCAACGAGGAGAATCGGCAGGAGTTTGCGGCGGAGATGAAATGGGATGCTAACAGGGATCCCGCGTTAAAAGTTGCTACGATGTTGCAATTGACCAGGATCTACTTGATGGACAACACCTCGCCGGGGATCCGACGCAGCGCTATAGTAATGTTGACCTACCCCGGCCGACTTGTGACTGGATCCGGTAATTTGATGATGCGTGGCCCGCACAACTACCTGCTGGACATTAGTCTTGACTGGAACCCAGAGGATCGGATCAAAGCACTGATCGGCATGGGTTACGATGTACAACCGGAGATGACGTCTATGAAGTTGGAATCCCAGCTATTAACTCCCTTCGAACAGTGGAAGAAAACAGCGTTGAACGTGAAGTGAGTACGCGAGTAATTCGATAGCTTAATTTCCGAAGCGCTATTTTACAATGATCAGAAGTCCAACTTCAGTTTCCAACTATAACATTGAAACCCTATTTTTGCCCGCAGATATATACAACTGCCAACCAAGGTCCTAGCCAGCAGTAGCATTTACTGGAGGGACTCGCAACATGTGATAGCGGACTTCCACGGCAGCATGAGCGAGCACGACGACCTGAAGGAATGGGCGGCAAATTGCGGTTTGACCAGCACCGTCCACTCCTTTGCATGGGTGACCGTGAACGTCACGCACAAGATGCTACGCTCGGAAACGGCAGACAGCCACATGCTGATCAAGTACAATCCCGACAAGACGATCGACGTGCGCAGCATTTGGCACCTGGACAAACAATCAGACGACGTGTTCAACTTGACCGGCAACCTGCATCTCTACACGCCCTTCGCGAACTACCACAAAGGCGAGCTCAAGTGTCAATTGCGCATCATGTCTAGCTGGACGTTCTTTGGCGCAGCGAACCTTGATCTGGACAAGCGCAAGTACACCGGTTGCCTACAGGGTGATCTAATGCGCTGGAAAGAGTCCAAGGTGGAATTCAACGTCACCACACCGTTGGAGAAGTTCGCTTTCGTACGAGGCAAATTCGGCCTGTCAGAAAGCAACCGCCACATAGTGGCGATGATCGACAGCCCGAACGGTCCGCTCGGCGTCGAGGCTGTGTTCCAGTTCTCCACGTCTGCTTACGATTTCAACGTGAAATTCATGTTGGCTACGCCGATCGACGTACTGCAGAAAGTTCTCGCGGTGGCTAAGCTGAATTCTCGCGAGGCGGACTTCCGAGTCGCCTACAACAACATCACGGCGGGCTTTCTTGGTACTTGGCACTACAACAACATCACCGACTTCGATTACAGATACGTAGTGCTCACGCCGCTTGAGGGTCTGCAGGAGTGCGGCGTGATCACCAAGCTGATCGTGATGCATACGGAGCCTAACAACATGCTGGACGTGAATACGGAGTTCTCGTTGAGATTGGCGGACATTAAGCTCGGTGTCAGGGCCAAGGGTGGGCCGAAACCTCCACCCGTTAAAATTCCTCTAAAAAAGGGTATTACAATACCTACGATACACAAGCCGAGATCTAATGAGTCCGAGGAGGAAGAAGAGGAAGAGGAAGACGACGAAGATAATTTCTTCTGGCGAGGAGAATTAGAGGTAATTGTGATTCGAATAATCCGAATGGGAATAAAAGATCATACATGGATTTTATCCATATATGGCTATACATAATCATGCGTAATCATATACGTTTGCGATGAAAAAAATGTGGCTGTACAAAATCGAAGTAAATGCGTGTGCGTTCTGGCAATACATGATGTCGACGTTTATTGGGATAAAACGATTTCTTCCTTTTTTCATTTAACATGATTTTTTTTCCGTAATCATATGTGATCTTTTTTTCCTAGGTAAGTATATAAAGTAACGTAAGGCTGAGAATTGAGATTTCAAAGCGTGATTATTCGCGATTTTTTAGTACAACTCTATAAAAATTAAATAATATATTAATTTTCCTAATTAATAGATATGGCTCGCGATAATAGAGGATATATCAGGCGAGCTGGATATCGATTACGAGCACAACACGTACAAAATTCTCAGCACGATAAATTTGCCACTCGGCAAAATTGTCTTGGATGACAATTTTTTGCTCGAGGATGTCTTTCATATGAAAAATGATCTACATGTGGATTTGTCGTTCAGCAGTATTAGAGAGATAACATCGTTATATACCTTTTTGATCGATATGGAGAACCGTATTTACCTCATGGAAATGAACATAAATGTCACGAAAAATAATACACGGATCGAGGTATGTAGAGCAGTAATACTTTGATATTAATATAATTTATTTTCTCTCATACTGTAGAAATGAGCCGACGAAGTGGCGAGATAAAATTTTACGAATGAATAAGAATATTTATTATCACGCAGACTGGATTTCATGGAAATTACACGTTTGAAGTACGTGACACGGATGATGCGGACAATACGATGATGCATTTTATAAAGTTTAACTTGAAGACGCCCTTACACTTTGCTAAAGACATCCGTACTAACACAATCATAGAGACCAAAGGCAATCGATCTCAAGGTACAGTCGCGATTCGTGGAGAACAGCTGACTATCGACTTATTCGGAAATGTTAAGGTAAGATTTACTTAAGATTAATAAGTGGATCTCATGAATATAAAAATCGAACGATGCTGTTTTGTTTTCCACACAGAGAGGGGAAGCTCTATTGGATATAGTAATCTCGGGTGCAATCGATTCACCCATGATAAAAATACCGAAAACCACGATCGTAGCGAAGAAGAACTTCGCTGGAGACAGAAAAGAGCTGAAGTTTAACGCGAGTATGGAAGAACCTGTATCGAAATACGTAAGCTTCCCAGTAACTTTTAAGTCTTGAGATGAAAAATTTAATTGAAACAATAATAACCTGATTTTAATTAATTAACTCAGTAAGCTACAAAAATTAAAGTAACTGCACTTTTAGAGTTTTTAGAAATTCCGATATATCAATAATCCGCAAAAATTGAAGCATCATTGATTAGATAACAAAACCCTCTAATTAATCCAAATGCCACTGTTCTTCATTAGACATCGTTCGAGTGCGCCTGGCAAACAAATGAGAATGTCTCGAGAGCATCTGCAAAACTAGAGAGTTGGATAAAAGCTCTAAGATCTCTCGAGACCGACGTGCTCTACAGCAACGCGATTCGCATCGATAACACCGCCAAATTGAACGTCCACGTAAAGCACCTTGGCGAGCAAGAATATCAACTGAACGGGAACTTAAACAACGGCAAGATCGACGCCGAATTGCATACACCGCTGTCGCAAGAGCCGCACTTCCAGTTCCACGGAGACTTGATCCAGATCAATGAGTCGCTGTACATCGTCAAAGGAGAACTCAAGAACCAGCTGCTCGCGAAATCCTACGACGTCAGCAGCGTCATCGTCACACAGGATGACGGCCCAAGTTCGATAGACGTAACAGCGGAGCCGAAGAGCGCCAACACCGATAAAATCACTCTAAAATTACAGAGAAAGAAATACGGTCTGCAACTCAACATGGACGGTGGATCCTTCAACAGCACCATCGATGCGAACATAATCAACTCTCTAAATTGGGACATGAGAGCGCAAACGGATATTCGGCAACCTCATCGGATCGACACGTACCACTTGAACACTTTCATGAACGTGCAGGTAAATGGCAACACCAGTCTTTATGTTCATGCCGAAACACCCTGGGATGACTGCGAGGTTTTGACGGTGAAAGGGAACGTGATGCTGACCAACACCAGCGGCGACGTTCGACTGAGTCACCAATTGAACGATGATCAATATCACGCGGCTGTTCAGTGGACACTAATTTTTATGACAGACATATTCGCGAAACTAACGACGCGATACGAGGGCGCGGGGTCGAGCAGGAAGGACTTCTCCACTCATGTATTCTTCAAGAATCCCCGATCGTACCGAATTATCGATATGGGATTCAATCTGGATATTGACCGGAAGGCTTGGGAATTCGAGACGAACGCGACCATAGGTTCTCGCAATCAGCGGAACGCCGACGCAGTGTTCATCATAAAACTGCCGCCCCCGTACAACGATGATCATCGGTTTCTGTTTAGTTATCACAAGACCGATGATATGCAGGACATCTCTTACGTTATAGGTTACAGCACAGTTCGATCGAAGGCGAATTATGCCTCGGACGGTTCGGTATGTATGAAACGTTCTGACTCGTCTTAAACTCAAGATATCCAGGCGCGAAATAATTTTGACGAATTCAAAATTGTAGTTTCGGACGCTAGCTCGAGACCTCAACGGCCATTTCCGAGTGACTTGGGGTTTATTGCCGAGTCAGTCAGTGAATAATCTCTTCAACATCACCTTCAATAAGAAAGAGATGAACCTCAAGTACTCTCTGTATACGCCGCAGTTCCTGCAGGAGGAAACTGTCGTGCTGCTTTTCAATTATGACTACACGTACAACGAGCGAAATCTGATCAATGCCGACCTATTTTATCCGCCTGGACGGCAAATCGGCGCCGCAAAGATAGCCTACGAAAGTTTGATCAACGTTAATGGAACTCTTAACGCTTCGATACCTGGGCAACCCTCGTATGTCGGTTGCAACTTTGTTGTGTTCACTACTTTGTAAGTCGATATTATATACGTGTGTAAAACAGAAAAAATGTCAATGAGAGAATTTCTTGAGATTACTTTCGGTCATTAATATTTTACAAAATTTTATTTCCCGTAAAAGTAACCTTCAAGATATGCAAACAAGTTCTTAATAATTTTGAAGTATTTATTTTTTCATTTTTAATTTATTTTTATTATGTTTGAGTAATTCTTATCGTTTTCCCAGCGCTCCCTAATTATTGTTTTCTTTTTACTATGCACACAGGAAGCAGAATAAACGATTCATCGAGTTCTTTTGGATGAACAACACGGCCTTGCTGAACTCCGATTACACCTATCACAGCGAGCGACTGAACTCGGACTTGGAAGGCGTCCTACACATAGAAGTTCCCTTGAGCGCTCGTCATATAGGTCACTTGACTTACGGCTACAAGAAACGTCCTCAAGTTACAATAGGCCATTCGATATTTACGTACAATGATCAGGAGGTGCTGCACGCTCAATACAATTCGAAGAGCGAGTCCAGAGCTGGCTTCGAGAAGGATCGCATCCAGGTCACCGTGGAGAACATTTACAAACCCATAGGTTTCGTCTATGTGAACCAATATGAGTACAGCGGTGGGAATGAAGGCACAAATTATCCCACAATAGAGTTCAAGCAGATAAATATTTATAGACTTGACAATAACTCGGCTTTCAACATCGCCGGCGAGTCCAGGGTCAGAACCACTCACACCGGCCAGAATATTCACCTGAAGGCGATGCATTTGAACCGGACCATTCAATTTAAAACAGACTACCAGGTATTGCCAGGCGAGTTCGATCAATACACCTGGTTAAGTCTGGCGGAAGATGCCTGGGCGTCGTATCACGTCAATATCATGAACCTGACCACCGAGATCATGGACAATCAGTTCATGATTCTCAACATCTCCTACCCGCGACATAACTTTACCTTGGAAGGCTCCTACAAGATCACCAGCGACGAGTTGAACTCCGAGGCAAACTTGCACTGGGAACGAGATGACGAAAAATCCTCGAAGAACATCGGTGCGGCCTTCAGTTGGACCAACATCAGCGCTACATCAATGGAGAGTCAGCAGCGGGCTGTGCTGAGTTTCCGACATCCCACGTTCCAGAAGGACGTGACGATGAGGAGCGATTTGATGAAAAGAGACCAACGAGATCTGTTGAACATCCTCTTCGTCGCAGACTATTCCGCCGATCCCGAGAAGCTGTTGACGTTGTCCGCGCTGCTGAGAGACGAGAGCGACGAGTTCAATAGAAAGTATCTCTACCGGTTAAACGGCAAACACGTCAGCACCAAAATGGAGCTCGACGTTGAAGGATTCGTTCACCGACATGGATTCGTGCTGCTCGAAACAGTGAATCACGCACGATACAAACGTGGTTATATGCCAGGCGAGACTGGCGAGCTGATCGGCCGAATCGATCGAAATTCGAGGGAGATCCTCTTCCGACGAGTGAACAACGAGGCGGTCAAGTACTTCAGCGTCGGCTATTATCCGTCGGATTCTCAATATATCATCAACGGCAGCGTCATCGACACACCGAAACTCAACGTTACTGGCGCTTTCTTCCTAGATCCGAGTGAGAAGCTCACCTGGTTGATGGTGAATTACACGCCTGGTAAGTGTTATTTGGCAACTCTTAAAGAATTTGTGCCAAATTCTTTAAGAGTTATTTAAGTTAAGGAAATTGAGGAGATTAAAATATTAGACTAAAGAATCTCCAGAGGTGATTGCAAAAGAAATCGGAGAATATTTTCTTTCGTCCCTTCTCCAATATCTCCGATATGATATTTTTTTTTTCTCTTATAGATGCGATGGAAAGCTTAAGAATGTACGGTAGCATCCCGGACGCTCGAAATGCGATATTCAACATCTGGAGAACGTACGAGGACGACCTGTCAATATCAGACATCTCCTTCTACTTGAAGCTGAACCACTCGAGGCTCGTTACGTCCACCTTGCGATGGCGGCCCGAACTCAAGAGCGATATCATTGTAAGATAAATCCGTCAGAATTATTCTCACGCTTAACACACTTGCGTGAAATCGTTACAATTAACGCGAGTCTCACGGATGCTTGCAGAACGCTACAAAGACAGCTTTCAATGAAATGTTCGATGACCTAAACAACGACGTCGACTATTGGAAGCAGTATATAAAGAGCGAAGTGATGAGTGTTATCACGGATGTTTGGGATGATGCTCAGCAGGATATTTCCAAGTTCCTCGATGACTGGAAGTAAGTACATGAAATAATCGTTACCGAACCGGTTACATACCTTCATCGTCCGAGAACTTCCGAGGATGGGAAGAAATGCCAAAATGAAATATAATTATTTGTATATCATTTATTTGTCCAATTGTCCATACCATATCTGTGTTTGTTACCATATTATTTTCCTTACAGCGATCTGAAAACCCTCGAGAAAGATTTTGAAGACCTCAGAGTATACCTGAACGACTCGTATAACGCCAACGACTTTTACATCAAAGACATCGTCGATTTCGGTATATATCTCATCGACGAATTGTCTCTGCGGAGTCACATCGAATCATTGCCCAATATACTAAACGAGATCTGGGAGATAATGGGCGAGTCCGGCGAAGCGCTGCGAAATTCTCTCATCTGGCTGATCGAGAACATCAAGAACGCTTACAACAAAGTTTCCGAGTTCATTGCTGCCGTGCTGAGAGGCGACTCTTTGTCGCAGGTGGCGAGCATAATCGAGAAGTTGATCGAAAAATATGACATGTTCATCAAGGACTTGCATGTGTCTTTCATCAAGTACATCGAGAATCTCTGGGACAATATCGCGTCGTCTCTCTCGCAGCAATGGTATCGTTTCCTGAAATTAATGGAGCCGTTGTTCATTCGGTTCATTCATTATCTCGAAACGGCAGCGTGGAAAGCGAGCAAAGAGGTGTTGGACTTTTTGTATGACCGTAAGAAGGAGATCGTCACATCGCCTTATTTCGACCGCTTCACCAATTTCACGCAGGACATCGACAAGTTCTATCGCGACATCAAGGCGAACGATATAGTGACCAACATTAATAAGTATTCGCGTGTGGTGATACAGTTCCTGAAGGATCGTTACTTCGCCTACGTGCCGTTCGGCAAGGAGCTGAAAGACGTAAACGACGATATCTTGTTAGAACTGAAAGAGTTGCAAAAGCTACCGTCTGTCAAATACGCCTTAGAGAAGCTCGATCAAGTGTACAGCAAGGTCAACTACGTCTACGAATACTTCGAAGTTAGGACCAAGCTGGAGAATTTGCTGCGGCTTATACACTCTAAAATAGTGGACATCAGTCAGTCGGCGTTGCAGGCTGAAAATCGCTACAGACAGGCCAAGACCATGTTCATCTTCGATCCTAATCAGGGCTTGATGTGCTTGGAACAGAAGCTACCGATGTCCTGGCACGCCTTCAATCAGACACCCGAATTCCACGAAACACCGGAATTACGAGCAATCGCGGATATCAAGACGTACTTTGTCACGTCGAACACTACTTTCTGGGGCCTTTATTATCGGTATAAACCCTACTCGGACTTGTCGAATTGGTTACCGCCGTTTAAAGGTTGGTCTCATGACCATGAGAACTGAATTCGAACTCGATTTTTAACATTATTGTTGAATCCTTCCTAAGTTGAATCCTTATTAAAAAAAAAAAGTCGATCATCAATTATTTGTTAAATGAATAATATACGTTGTTTCAGCGCAAGCTATGATCATCGGTTCCCAGCATTACGTTACCTTCGACGGCCGCTATTTCGACTTCGTCGGAAGCTGCACTTATTTGTTAGCGAGAGATTTCGTGAGCGACACTTTCGCTGTTTTAGTGAAATACAATCAAGGCGAGGAAATCACTCATCAAATCATAGTACTAATCGGAAACAGTGCTATCGAGTTGGACCTCTTCAATGACGTTAGTAGAAAAATTATTATTGCACATAGTGTTCGATAGATATTTACAAGGACGGTTATCTTCGATATAATAACATAGAATAATTCGTTATCACTGTCATAACCTAAATATTCTTCAGACAATGAAGTTAATCTCTCAAGAAGCGGGAACTACGACCAATTTGCAACTGCCTGTCGAATTGGACCACGGCAGGACGTACGTCTACCAAGAGGAGAACATAGTAACGGTGGAAGGTAAAAACAATCAGTTCCGTCTCGAGTGTAATTTCAAGTTCAACATATGCACGTTGGAGCTGTCAGGCTGGTATTACGGCAAGACCGCCGGTCTGCTCGGTACAATGAGCAACGAGCAATACGACGATCACCTGGCATCAAACGGTTTGATCGTCAAGGACATTGACAGCTTTGCTCATAGCTGGTCTATTGACGGCTGCACGAGCGATCTGACGAGTCGCGTTAGCAGGAATATGCATCAGGACAGCGTGGTGTTCCGCTTCTGCGAGGATCTGTTTGTAAACAAAAGCTCGGAATTCGGCATCTGTTTCGACGTGATTAATCCGAACGAGTACGCCAGCATGTGCCTAAACAGTTTCACCGAGTCTGAGGTGTGCACCGTGGCGATGTCATATATGCAGACGTGTCTGTTCTACAACACTTACCTGCGTATACCAGATCGCTGCACCACATGCAGCATGATAGACGGCAGTCAAGTGGCCGAAGGCCGATTCAAGCGGCTGGAAGGTACGTCGGTGCCACAGTCGACTGACGTGGTATTCATCGTCGAGGCGAAGAACTGCAATCATAACATCAAGCTCAACAGCAGCATGGAGCTGTTGATCACGCAGCTGAACAAGGAGCTGAATGACCAAGGTCTCACGGGCAATCGTTGGTCTCTGGTAGTCTTCGGCGGCGACGGTGTGTACGACCAACCTAGAAGCATCGTTCTCGACGGACAGATCTTCACGAAGAATGTGGGGCGCTTCGTGGATTATTTCAACTATGTGCCCATCGGCGGCGGCAGCCAGGACGTCTTCACTGCGATCGGTTTTGCTTCGCAGCTTGTGTTCAGAGCCGGCGTGTCCAAGACTTTTATATTGCTACCTTGCTCGCATTGCGAGTCAGAGAATCAGACGGTAAGTTTTTTCTCTTCTGAGTTTAGTCTTAAAAAGTGTAAAATTTAATTATTCTCCGAATTATTCTTTGAACACTTCGAGTATTTGCTCCGATTGCGACCGCCGTTGATCATATTTAATTTATGTCAAGGATACTTTGGATCTTTGAATGATTTTAATTTCAGCCAAGATAATAAAAATTGGATTTCTGTTTCTTTCGTGCTTTTGATCATTCAATCATTTCATCACTTCATCAATCATTTCACAATCATATTGTGACAATTCCTTCGGAATATCTTCGATACATTTTTCCACCTCATGCTCATTCTCTTCGAATTTCGTCCTGATCGATCTCTCTTTTCAGCTGGAGTACTCTGTATTGCACCAAGTACTATTGGAACACGACATCACCCTGCACATACTGATGGACGGTGATTTCCAATTCGACAAGCCGAAGATCAATAAAATTTTCTACGGCTTGGATGCGACCAAGTCGTACACGAAGAAGGATGCGAGAGTGCTGACGGGCGACGTGGACCTGAGAAGACAAGTGAAGCTCTCGAAGGATGCATTGGGTTACTGTACTCCGCTGTCCTTAGAGACGAACGGCACGATATTCAGCGGCGACAAACTGCGTTACCAGCCTACCTCGAATAAAATGTTTGCAAGCGTCTTCGCCAAGAGGGTCGCCCTAACAGCTACGCCTAATCAATGTCAATATTGCGAGTGCACCGCCGACAACAATGGTGTTACGCAAATGGAATGTATGCCCTGCATATATCCGACGCCGGTGCATGTCAATTACGTGAGCGTACGTATCACAGTGCCTGCTGATTGTCTCAAACAACATGAAATCTTACGATATATAGCGAATATTCCGAATGAGATATCCAAAAGATTTGTTGAAGATTTCTTTAAGATAAAAGTATACAAGTAAATTTTTTAGACGGATGTCTTACGGATGTCACACTTGTGCTGTTGAGGAGTATACTTGTCAGATATCTGATCGATTGTCATTTTTTTATTATGTTACAGGAAACATTTGATATTAACGAGACGCTTTCGATGATACCACCATTGGACGATGCAGATTACGGTCAAATCGATATAGAGGACGACTGAAGTACAATTCCATAAAATCGTAACTAGATGATGGTAGCTAAATATCGCTGATATGTTATTCGTATTTATTTATATCGTACCTTCTTAAAACCTAGTGCATATACCTACCTCCCTTCCTGATCGAGGATTTACTTTGTAAGCATGTAGCATGGCACTGAGCTAGAAGCTGATTGAAGGCAAAAATTTATAAATTTGCACGACTTTATTTCCAAGTAATAGTAGAAAAATCTGATACCGAGAGTAGAGTTCTATAGAATTCACAGTCTACTGCTATATTTCTCCACACATCTTGAATGACTACAATTATTATAAAAAATATATCGATAATATACAAAAATAAAAATATATCAAAACAAACTGTAATCACATCAATAACATAGTATTGCGATGTTCTTAGAGCATTAAAGTCGTTAGAATATAAATATGATACAATAATAATTATTGGTTCTTCTCTAACTAGATACATAATAATAACTGAGAAGTGGATAGCAATATGTGTGGATTGGCGGAAGTGGTACAATCGTCACATAAAAACACAACAACAGGATCGATATATAAAACTTTTCTGTCTATATATTATCTGTATATATATAAGGTCTGAGAGACTTACTATATATAAAAATGTAATGCAAACCGGGAAATGGCAATTGATTCGCGTTACATTCTCCGCGCCTGTTTTCAAACCGCATTTACATCTGTTATTCCGGTGCGGAATATATGGCGAGTGTATCTAAAAGACTTCCCTCCATAAAATCCTCCTCGTATAACAAAGGAATAAACTCTATAACGACGCGCGTAGTAATCGAGGAAACCCAATAATCGACGTAGAGATAAACGTAGAGGACCGCGCGTCCCACAAACTTTCACAATATGGCCGTGATATAAGCTGAACGTCGCAGTGTACATAGCGACGTTAAGACGGAAGAGAAGGGCCAGCGATATCACCAACCCCTCGATGGTTTGGCCACTATTCATCCGCATAACTTTAACTCAATCCATCGAAAAATGGTCACCTGGTATCGTGAGCCTGCAGGTGATTCGGTGCGTCGGCGAATGTGAACTTCAACTTGTACGCCTCGGCCACCAGCACCCCAATCTCCGAATCCGTCCAGTTCTGAGTGGGCAGGTTTTGTAGCATTAACATCAGCCCCTGTAGCCCGTAAAAAAAAAATTACAATTGTATAACGCAATGGTTTTGTACATATTCTATGATTCTACAAGATTAACGAAAATGTAAGAAAAAGCAATAAAAATGAATGACAAAGTTTCATCTTTATAAAGATTTAAGATTAGCTCTTCTCACAATAATCAATTGATTGTCGCCGTTATTAAGTTTAAATTCTGATTAAATTCGAAATGATTCGATATTCTTTTCTATCGGCGGATGTCCCTACGATGCAAAAGTATTGTTGTTCAATGAATTACTTGAAAATCAGGTTGCAAAAGTAAATGACGCCTCCAGCGCAGAAGGAAGGCTGCACACACATAAAGTTGAAACGAAGCGAATCTGTCAGATTCCGCCAAATAGGTGTCCCACAGACGAATGGTACAATGAAGTGGAATTTCCCTGGTCAATAGGTTATTCATCCACCGAAAGGAAAACTGTAGATAATCTACCCCATGCTGATGCAAGTGCTGATGCAGTGGTGCTAGAAGAAATACGTTCAAGAAAAATGCCAACATACCATACTGATCAGCCTGCGTTTGAATATTCACCGTCAATCCTCTGTATCAGTTCCTTCAATTGATTCACCTTGTGCTGAATTCCCAATTGAGCAAATATATAATTGTCCTGTATACCGTCTAGGAATTTCGACAGGCACCAAAAACTGTCAGCCTCGATGATATCGCGTTGCTCCTTCGACAACGACGCTACGTCATAGTTCTCCAGATCCTGCCAGGCTTGTATGGGTACGGCTTCTTGCAAGAAAACTAAGAAGAAGGGCGTCACCAGGTCATTCATACCCTGCCAGAACAATCAATTTGTGTAATGTTGCTCTTCTTCGTTGCCGATGAGAAGAATGCTTCCACGACGAGTACCTGAACATAGCCAGAAGCAGGATGCCTGATCGCCCAGATATAAAGTATTCTTTCGAATATCAGCTGCACCGTCGTCTGCTGGAACAACGATATGAGCGGCGACATTCGCGGTATATCGATATGAATCTGTCGATACGTGTCTTGAAAAGCCTCATCACGCTCGACATCGTAGTATTGCTTCACCAGGTTCCAATAATCCAGCCGTTTGCGCTCCAACACATTCTGCCTACGCTCCAGATTAGCTGGCAAGTATTCCTGTGAGAATCACAAATGCGCTTACATAACGTTTCGTGGGAACGCTCTATCAATGGAGTTTGCCGATAATGCGGTATCATCGTGTTTTACCTTCGCTACTTACAGACAACAACCGCCAAGTAACAGAACGCAATTTAGCGGGCACGCCTGACCACGACAGTTGCCTCAGTTCGTCCAAATTCAGCACAGACGCTTCCAGAAGTAATTGGAACTTGTCTACTTTACTTTCGCCATCTGAACAAAATAAATGGTTCTTGAATTGCTTATCATAAATGTGTGTAATGAATAGAATAATATTTCTTGCAGCCAAAATTACAAAGAAACCATACAATGTGTGAGATTTATCGGCGTTTTTCTAGAAATAAAAACAAAAATAATACTGTGCTATAAACTGTGTAAGCAACAGAAGATAAATGAAATATTTCGTTTCTTAAATGACATAATGAAATTTGACCACTGAGAATAATTATTGGATACATACCTTGTTCTTTAGAAGGTATAAAAAACTTGACGGGTGGGTTGGTTTGTCTTAAAGGTTGCGGTCTACCAGGAAACTGTGTCGGTTTGTGCTGAGGCGATGCACCGTATTTCAAATCCACATCGTCACTGCCAAAATGCTGACTATTATTCACCTGTGAGTGAATGAGCAAATTCGCGTTGCGCAGATGCAACGGCTGCACCGCCAGACGCTGAAGTGCCTCTGCTTTCTTCTCTTCGGGTATTATTTCCTGTTGTACTGTTTTGGTGTGCGTTTGTCGCTCTGCACACGCGTTACCGGATCTGTGACTGTTGATGACACTAAGGGCTGCCGAGTGACTGACTTTTTTCGATATCTTCACATCCGAGACAGTACAAAATTCATCATCACCCGAATCCCATGCATCATCGACACTTTCTTGAAAATCCTGGAAGGAAGTAGAACCACTGCTTCCACCAGTACTGCCACCACTATTACTAGTGCCTGTTAGGTTGCCAGATCCGATTGCCATAGTATTAAATTTGCCGTGTCTAATGTCTTGCTTTGGACTTGGCCTTGAAGCAAATCAGTAGTTAGCAAGTTATCTAACACAATATATATTTGTATAGAAAATAATATCAAAGGAGATATATACCTCCCAGGCACAGCTCGTGTATTCTTCTTCCAGAAAGACTGATGGGTTGAAAGAGTCTGATGATGGAAACCTTGATTCTCCATAGCGGAGAAGTATTGAGTTAACTGGCACCTGGTGATCTCTCAACACAACTGTCGCTATATAGAATGTTCCTCATGCCCTTGCAATAACTACTGAAAATCTACAAATGCCAAAGATCTATTTTTATGATATTGTTATAGTAGCAAATATATTGTAATATAAATAGTGAATAAGAAAAATTATAAATTACATGCAAATATAATATTATAAAATTAATGCTCCAACACAAGCATAAAACTCAAGTTTAGATGCTTCATTACATATAAGATTGTCAAGTATTGTTAGTTATACCTATTCTTATTATTGGATTATATGTGCAAAGTGTCAAGCATACAACATCAAGCCAAGGCTTCTATGACTAAGCGACACAATGATAGCGTCAGAGTCGTGGAAATAATAACAGAAATAACGCGAAGAACAAATAATAAAGACGGGAGAGCGCGTGATCGCGGAAGTGACAAACACGTCGTCGTAACATATGATTTCCTAGGAACTCGGTACGGACAACGACGCGCCCAACTCCGACGCGGGCAGCCTCTATAATGCTACGCGTTATTCCTATAATTAAATTACACAGACGCACTTTGCGGTCGACAGAAATATACGTATCCGTGGGCTAACACAACGGACACCCGTCGCTGCCTGGCCCGAGAAGGTTATGTTGCGTAAGTTGCGTCTGTCGCGCGAACGCTGTTGTGCGAGCTGCTGATCGTGAAAAAGGAGTGTGCTGCGAGATGCCACGGAGCAGGACGACACGAGACGAGACGAGACATGCGCTTGGCTTACATTCGCCGCTGCTGTGGTCGCGCAATTATGCCGATCCTGTGTGAAATATCGCAGCTGAGAGTCAACAGCTTTACCGCTAGCGCGTTCTAGCCTATCAGTAATCAGTATCGTCTATGCCATCGCGGCGTCGACACGACGACTACGTAGTTCCCGTCTCCGTCCAGGTCGTCGTCGTCGTCGTCGTCGTCGTTTAGCTGGACGACAGATCGTAATTCTAACGGCCAGCGCGATTTATTAGTTGTTCCTGTTCTCGCAAGTGCGCGGCACACTCCGAAGACGCTACACGCCCCTTCGGAGCTACACTGGAGCTACACTTCGACTCAGTGGCGGCGACTTTGCTTTCGTCGGCTCGCGCGTCTCGGCTAGTAGGTATGATTTTGACATATGACCGACTGTTTTGGATGCGAGCGGTAGTCGCCTGCTTCTGTGTGTATGTACATACATTGCAGATGTACTTATCATGTATTTGTTTTGAACTTCACATCTAATTATCTACTTTATACCTGCTGTACATGTGTTCCTTCCTCCTCTCTCTCTCTCTCTCTCTCTCTCTCTCTCTCTCTCTCTCTCTCTCTCTCTCTCTCTCTCTCTCTCTCTCTCTCTCTTATCCTGTAGATAATTATTCCTTTCCTCATAATTGGTTTGTTCCATCCATATAAGCGCAAAGATGATTATCTACAAATGTGAGTTCGCTGGAATTGTACAGCATATCTTGCAACTTGCGATCTTGACGGCAGAATTCTCTAACGAATTTGGAGTTAGTTTTTCTTTAACGGAAGAAGAGCTTTTTACATTTACGAAAAACCACAGATGGGCAGATATATAAAACGAAACTATATACTTTAATTAATTTAAAATAAGAGATTTACTCTATGTTCCTTTATCTCTTCAGAGAATATAAACTTCATGGAGATATTTAAATGATGCATAAGGAAAGTGGGATATTCTTTAGACAACTTTTAGAAATTCGTGTCGTTTGGATTGAGAATCAGAATCAGAGAGGATCAGTTATTAGAAGAGCTAAAATTATAAAGTTCCGCATAACATCGAAAAAACTATCTAATTATCGATTAAAAACAGGTTATGTAATACAGGTTAATTAGCAATTCAGATACATTTTTTTTTATTTACGGGTGTTTTTCTTTTTTTTTAGACGTTCATTTTCATACTATAGTCCATATTGTTTTGTTCCTTGTGAATCACACTTTTAAGGAAATATACTACAATGTGGACTTACGTGTCACGCAATAATTTACATTTATTACATGGAAAATTTCATCTATTTACAGATGAATTTCGAAATTTATTTCTAAATTTCTAGTACTTTATATAACTCGACCTTATCGTTAATGGCTTTTTTTATACAGAAATGATGAAGATTTTTATATAGAAATGATAAAGATGAAGAGAAACTGTTCCTTACGAAAATTTTTATATCTTAGCCAAATTAATAGACTCTCACGCGTGCAGTCAAACGTACAGTAATTTGTGACTTATATAGATGACTTGTATATTGAAAACGTAAAACAATAAAACAAGAAAAATAATGATTATTCTCATGATTATTCTTCAAGGTTAACTGCCATATCGTAATTATTCCACTACGATATTCCAGTGTTATTCCACTACTACTTTCACTATAATACGTAGTATCTCGTAGTATCTCATTTTAGTATCTCATAGTAACTTTTTTCTGTTATTTTGTTCTGTTATTTATGTTAGTATATGCTAATTATTCAGGCTGATAACTTCAATATCGCACATAGAAAATGTAGATTACAGTTTATGGAAAAAAATATACTGTTTATTCATAAGATTCACAATTTCAATTCCCAAATTTCAGTTAAATTAACTCAGCCGGCTGCTGAGTGCTAATGAATTGTTAATGAATTGCTAATGAAAAATAAAAAAATAAAGAAGTAAATAAGTAAACTATCTCTTTATATTATATTTGTTTAATATTTTTAATTAATTGGTTCATATTACGTATAATTCAACTTACTACGCAATAGTTCACAACATATAATATGAAATGAAATTTGATTAAGACAAGTTGTTTATTAAGAAAATTCTGTTGGCAATTCTCTTAGTCACTTGTTAGTCTAACTGGAGTCTGATAAAAGTCATCCTAATCCTAAATTTCTCTCTCTCTCTCTCTCTCTCTTTCTCTCTCTCTCTCTCTCTCTCTCTCTCTCTCTCTCCCTCTCTCTCTCTCTCTCTCTCTCTCTCTCTCTCTCTCTCTGTTTATTTTAGACATTTCTCCACATTTTATAATTTCTTTCGAACATTTTCCGATATACTCGAATGATACACTTCCGACACACTTCCCTATGATACACTCGAACGATCGATCAGAGAGTAACCAGAAGTGACTGAAAGCCGCATTAAAAGAAGATGCCCAAAATTCTTATGATCTCTGGCCTTAAGAAACGTACGATTGAAACTCGATGTATTTTGTATATTAATATCTATTCAATTTCCGTTGCACCATCCATATTAGTCATTGCAATCAGGAGATATAGACGATAAAGTAGGGAAACCCCATCATCGGATTTCTCAAAGCTACAAAGAGCGATAAGAATGTTAATGTTATTATATACGTATATTTGATAAAACAAGCGTCACATTTCGAGCACAACAAATCTGAAACTACGCTGATACTTGAAGCGAAGTCAATAGTTGTTGTGCGGATGTCCTGAGGTCACGTGAGTAAAACCGAGGTGCAACAGTTGAGTCAAAATGTGGTGATTTATAGTATATGCATGCGATGAATCGAAGGAGTTGCCTCCCCGCGGTGATAGCGGGGACAATGGCTCCTTTATAACGTTTAAAGAGTATAAGAAGGAGGGTGAAAACTCCGAAAACTTTGAACTGCCTTTAATGCCGGCATGTTGGACCTGTACGTCTGTTCATTACCAGAGTCGTGATAACGCTCGTTTTCCATTTGTGAGTGAATACGATCGAGGCACCAGTTTCGTATCAGGTACACGCTGCACGTTTTGATAAATCAAACAGAGATTGGTGTCGAGGTGATTGTTGTCGATGGACTTGGAACAGTCGAGTGTCGCATACATTACGACTGTTCTATGGTTTCTTGGATGTGGTGAGCACCAATCCAATGTTGAGGAATCAGCAACGTCGCTAAGCGATATATATTTTATGCAATATTTATTTCTGATCTATATAATTTCATTGACCGACTGTGTCGCATTTCAACGAGCAACAACGGATATTCGACAGTAATAGTACGTCAGAACAAATATTTTGAACTTTTCAAGTTTCATAGTTTCGTCCGCTTCATAGGTCCACGCTGAAAGGAGAAAAGCAAGGGCCGGTTACTCCAATTTCTTGGTAAGTTAACTGATAGTTAAATCATATGTTTACTTTTGTTTTTCTTCCACTTTAAACGAAGACAGACATCTGATTTAACTATCAGTTGACTTACCAAGGAGTTGGAACAACCGGCCCCGTTGAGGAAGCCCGTTTAAAGGTCGTCGGTTAAAGCAACAGCTCACACGCGTATCTCCTGCGCATAGTTGGACGAGACTCGCCGACTCGATCGAGCAATCGCGAAATAATCGCGAAACAATCGCGCGGCGAGAGAGAAGCACGGGAAAGGTGCTTCTAACGGAGCCGCTGGTACCTTCCAACGGTCCTAGGCGCACAAGGGCGCACAAGGGTGGCCCCGTGACCCTTGTTACGTTACTGATCCTTCCAGGTCGTAACGACCCCCGGACGCTCGAAGTCACGTGCCTCCGCCGACGCTGTCGACGAACGGTGAGAGAGAAAGAGAAAGAGAGAGAGAGAGAGAGAGCCCGGCTGTCCGCTGCGGTCGATACTAATCAGTCAGTGCTCGGTTCGGTGGCGAGTTTTCCCGCGGCCGATCTTCGGGGAATTCGCACCGCGCGCGCGCGCGTGCGCGTTCTTTCCGTACGACGGAGCGAAGACACGCGCGACGGGGACACGGAGATAAGCGGAGGCTTATCGGCGCTAATCGCGCGACGGTGATAAGGCCACCGCTTGCGCCGATCCTGCGGCACGCGCGCGGCTGCGATTCCTCTTCGCGTGCTCCCGGCTGGCAACGATCGATTCCGCGCACACCTACGTCTTAACCGGCGTGACTTTCCGCCGCGTCTAAGCACGCACCGCGCCCTATTTTTGGCTGAATTATTGACGGGGATCGATCCACCGTGATTACGCGCGCGCTGTCGCACGCAGCCGTCCACGCAGCCACGCGCGCATTTATGCAAGTGCGTCACCTCGAAGTCGCGTCGCGTCGCGTCGCGAGTGTGCACCGGAGCCGAGGAGGAGCGTACGCGATGCATTGTTATCCTTGCCGCGGCGTGTGTACTCCGCGTAGCGCGTGCTGTGTCCCCGCGGGCACGTGGTGAGACTGGTCGACTGGTGATTGATTGATCGATCGATCGATCAACGAGTGCCGCGTGATCTTATCTTGCGATCCGGACTTGCCTTCACGTTATCAGGTTTTTTCCTCTCAAGACACGTACGCGTCTATTTATCTGTCATTTGCTTATCTATTCGTCTCTCCGAATACCTTCTTTCATGATAAATAATAAAGTACACGAACTTGGCGTCTACAGTTGGATTAATCTCACCAGGCGGATGTTAATCGGGCATCCGGCAGGCCCCGCTTTCGCTCGGTAAGTTGCGCGAGATTTCTCGCGGAATAAATCCGCGCACGTTATTGATTTATCTGCCAGCCATGCAAATCGGGATGCCGCTCGCGATATCGTTGCGCGCGATATTGCGAAATCTCGTTTGCGAGCGATTATATCTTTGTGTCGCGACGTTTGTTATCTTCGCCTCGTGATCATTGTACTCGCCGTGAGAGCTCGCTCTCAGCGTAAATGTGAGCGAGCGGCGCTTTCCGCGATTCTCCCGCGGATCGTCGCAATATCGGTGCGTCGTGCAAATTTTCGAACGCGCGCTTTCTCCAATGCGCGTCCGTCCGCGCGCGCGTGTGGGGGGATTTAGGAAATGTAGGTCTAGTCTTTTATACTTTCTTCGTGGCAGTCTACTTTCCTTCGCGCCGCACCGAATCCGCTCGTTTCACTCATCAGTCGGTCGCCGTCGTCGTCGCGAGTTCGCCGTGTTTTCCAGCGGGATCGGAAACCCGAGCCGCGGGCTTTTCTCCCATCGGCGTGACGTCGCGTCGTTCATTTCGCGAGATCCTCACGCGGTGAAATCGAGCGCTCCTTCGTAAACAGCACCGCGTCGGATCTGCACTCGCGAGAGCCGAGGGAACTTCCGCTCCGAAAGTGATTGCACGGTGTGTTGCGTTGATCCCGATGAATTCGCGCGCTTCGTATCCGTTTCGCTCCGAGTATCGTCGATTGGGAGTTGAAGCGATTTACCGTCAGTTCCGACCAAGTTCGGGCGCTATCCCGTGACGAAGGAAGGTTTCCCTTTAACGCGTTTCCGTGGAAAATTACGATGTTGACGCTACGCGACGCGGTTGTGTAAAAACAAGTCGGTCGATCTGCAAGTTTATTTCCCAGCTATATACGTTCACTTGTGGTTTTGTCACGAGTTCTTTGCTCCCCAGCGCTTGTAGCAGGCTTCGCAGCCCCGTTTCGCGTTGCACGAAAGCGGAATTAACGTTTAAAATTTAAAAGGGGGAACAGTGGAGAAAATAAGAAAGTCGACGGCTTTGTTCGATTATGTTACATGGTTCTCCGCAATGCAGGAGGAAGTTGGATCGCTTTCCATGTTTTCGGTGGCCAAATAAGTAGCGCAATAAGTTCTTGCAGATGTAATACGAGGGTTATTGAGAAGTATAGACCGTAGATAACATAAAAATATGTCTTGATAATCTTATTTTAAAATAAAGAGTTATCAAGGACAGGCATTTGAAGAATTTCTGGAAATTCATATTGCGAAAAAACGCTCGTACAATTCCGTGGAACTAAGTAATGCAAATTGCGTTCCGTTCATAACAACGCAGCAAACTCGTAACCGTTTTTGCCGACCAACGTAATCGTCATTGTTATCGCTAATCAGCTACGCCAATTATATATTGTTAGTATATTCCATTTTCGTGCCAATTACGGATCTTTCGTGCGTCAAAACGGTATTTCGCAACGTCGTGTTCTTCAATATCACAAACGCTGCGTTCGCGAAAAATTGAACTTCAAGCGAATAGTACGAACAAACTCGAATTCTGCAGCACGAACTGAATAAATCGAACATAATCGAGTATTATTTGCATACTGATTTATTCTTATGTTTAGTGCGATGATTCCTACATCTTGCTAATACTATTATTGCTCGCGATATTTTTCAATCAAGAAATATCGCGAGCAACATTATTATATTTCCGCGATATTATATCTTTTTAATTTTGTGTCTCTCCTCGTAATATCCCTGTAATAGTTTTTTGCTTTAATTATTTTTATCAAGTCTTGAATAATATTAAATTGTAGATTGATTTTCCGTCATGTTTTTATTATGTTCGCAGATCGGTCTTCTGAAACAGATAAAACATGTCGGATGTTGAAGGAGACGATGAGGTAAGCGGTTTCTTGGTGGTATAATATAATGACAAAAAAATTAAAAATTTAGATGATTCAAATTTGCGTGTGTGTATTTTATTACATATTATTACGTTTCAGTTCCAAGACGCGCAGGAATCTCTGCAGTGAGTATGCTGGTGCATATGCTACATGTAGGGTTGCCAGATGGCCTTGATTTCCGGGATTGTCCTGGAATTTTCTGAAGCTTGTCCCGTGTCCCGGAATTTAAGTCTCTTGTCCGGGAAAATCAGCATTTCAAGAAAATTATAATCATAATATTCATGTTTTTAACTGATACTAAAAAAAATGTGAGAGCAATCGTTGGGATTTATAAGGTCGAAAAATTTGACGTGCGACCTGAAAAAACAGTATAGCAAAAGAAAAAAAGGTCAATCGTATGATTTATGTCTAAACTTCTCTCTGCTAGTATTTAATTCACATATTTATTCATTGCAAGTAAGCAACGACATCTCTCTTAACCGTTTTATCCCTCTATCTGTCAAATTTAACTAAAATTCTCTAATGACCTATTTTTCAACCTAAAAAATGTCCCGGAAATAGTAATTTTGCATCTGGCAACCCTGGCTACATGTTGTTTTATTTAATATGTATATTACTTTACTATACAGGGTGCACGATTTATCTGAAGACATTGAAATATCTCGAGAACTATGCATTGGATAAAAAAAGTGGTTAATGAAAGTTGTTAGTCTCGAAGGGGGACATCCAATGATACCAAACTCGACCTCCCACCCCACCCCCTGGGGGTGGGGGTTGGGGGCAACTTTGAAATCTTAAATAGAAACCCCCATTTTTTATTGCAGATACGGATTCTACGCCACAAAATACGTAAATTTTGTCCGAAACTTTTTTTTGATTCGTGATAGATGGCGCTGTAATCGCAAAAAATTATGTTTTCCGCAATTCTCCAGAAATGATCATTGGATTGAGAAATAAAAAATACCTGTTCAATATTTTTAAAGAACATAATAAAAGTTATTCCCCCCCCCATCCTCTCGGGGTAGGGTGGGTGGTAACGTTCAAATCTCAAATGGGAACCCGAATCGAAGAGGGAACTGCTCGACACGCCTTTCTGTGGGGTTACCTAAAAGATAAGGTTTATCAACAAGCGCTAACAACTCGTGAAAACATGGTAGAACGCATAAGAAACGCTTGCGCTGAAACTCCCGCAGATATGCTTCTATCCTGTGTACAGTCATTTGAAAAAAAGGATCAATAAGCGTATTGAAGTTGAAGGTAAAAATTTCGAACACTTACTCTAATTAATTGAACAGTGAGAGGCAAGGGGACTCACATTAAAAAAGCACCCCGATCTGTGAGAGGCAAGGGGACTCACATTAAAAAAGCACCCGAAGGGAACATAAAACTACTACGTCCTCGTCGTTGTTCCTGTGTAACGCTAAAAGTAGTTTCTCGGAAAAATTCAACGCTACTATCACGAATGAAAAAAATTGTTTCAATAAAAATTTCACGTACAATCTAATTCTGCAATGAAAAATGTGGGTCCCCATTTGAGATTTGAACGTTACCACTCACCCTACCCCGAGAGGATGGGGGGGGGAATAACTTTTATTATGTTCTTTAAAAATATTGAACAGGTATTTTTTATTTCTCAATCCAATGATCATTTCTGGAGAATTGCGGAAAACATAATTTTTTGCGATTACAGCGCCATCTATCACGAATAAAAAAAAAAGTTTCGGACAAAATTTACGTATTTTGTGGCGTAGAATCCGTATCTGCAATAAAAAATGGGGGTTTCTATTTAAGATTTCAAAGTTGCCCCCAACCCCCACCCCCAGGGGTGGGGTGGGAGGTCGAGTTTGGTATCATTGGATGTCCCCCTTCGAGACTAACAACTTTCATTAACCACTTTTTTTTATCCAATGCATAGTTCTCGAGATATTTCAATGTCTTCAGATAAATTGTGCACCCTGTATATATATTATTATTTTATTGCGTGAGATGTCGAATATATGTATTTCTCATTCACGCAGAATCACCTCCATGGATTTGGATACGGCGATAATGGAGGCGAAGAAGGCGATAAACCTCTTTTTCAACAACGAATTTGAAAAAGCCAAGGAGATCCTGCAGCCGTGGGCAGACAGCAGCATGTACCACTCTCTGGGGGCCACCGTGTTGGCGTTTCTCGAGGCGATTTTTTCCTTCGATGTGGTACAGGATCATTTATTATATTTTCCGTTTGTTACGCTTCTGATCATGCAAGCTGGCATAATAGCCTCGGTACATGTGGTTATATCACTTAAAGTCTCTCATAGAAAATACATCAGTTACTTTAGAAATATGTAGCTTTATGTATTGAGGCTATCACATATATCGTTTTGTGTTTACATTTTCGTTCATCTGACTTGCAATCGCGTGTGTGAAATTACTTGTCTTTAATAACGTATCATGTGCGACAGAAATGCCTGGGTAACGCGAGGGAGACGGTGAAGCAGTGCATGCACGTGTGCTCCAAACATCGCAAGCAAAGCTCCATCACGCAGAACTTCGGAAAAATGGTCAAAGGGGTCAACTATGACGATTATACAATCGGTAATGCGTTTATCGTGTGTTTCAGCATGATATTTGTCCCCTCTCTTGCACATCACGTGCGCTGCGGATAGCTTGAGACAAATGTTAATTAGCGATAATTGCCGAGCATCGAATTAATGACCATTTCAATAACACAAGTGCTTCAGAAGCGTTTAATTTGTCTTTTATAATAATGCAGAATTGGTTTTTTTCCGTCGATCCGAGTTAACGTAGAAGTTTCGAAGGAGAGCTATATATATATAACTTCACTCTCCAGTGTGTGGATTTTTTACCCGCTACATCGCGTTACATCGCTGGCGATTCAGCGACGCAATATTAACGTACAAATTTTCCTTAATGACCGACTAGCTAATATCGGATGTAATCTCGTTGACCTCTTGACTGTGGAGACAGAAATGTACTAGTCGTGCCATTTTTGTGTTGGGAAAAATGTCGAATTTTCTTTATGATATTTTTATAATAAGGGTTTTTGGGGTCGCTGAATCCAAATTTGATATTAAAATTCCAAAATTCAAAATGGCGGATCCAATATGGTGGGTCAAAATTATGAAAATAATCGGATATTTATGAAAGTAGGTATCTATATGTTTTTGGGGTCGCTGAATCCGAATCTGATATCAAAATTTCAAAATTCAAAATGGCGGATCGACCATGGTATGTCAAAATTATGAAAATAATCAGATTTTAATGAAAGTCGGTATTTATATGTTTTTGGGATCGCTGAATCCAAATTTGATATCAAAATTTTAAAATAAAAAATGGCGGACCTAAATTTTTAAAATCAGATTTTCATGATTTTTATCATTTTGACTCGCCATGTTGGATCCGCCATTTTGAATTTCGAAATTTTGATATCAAATTCGGATTCAGCGACTCCAAAAACATATAGATACCCACCTGTATGCAAAAAACAATAGTTTTACTATTTTTTTTCTTCGATACGTGTATACACGTCATCCATACTGGTGGCACGACTTTTTCATGCGGCTATCACGTCATCCACAGTCAAGGGTTAACAGTAGTTGCTCAACAAGTTTTTTTACGTAATATGTCTTAATGCATGAAAGGAATGATCTGAGGAGAATTAATATTGCAGAGGAAGTGCATGCTGAACTCTGTTATGCTGAGTCGCTCCTCATAAAGTCGATGCTCACGCTTGTGGAAGATGAAAGTCTGATCAGCTTTGTCAGGGCAGGATTGAAAATTCGTTCCTGTTTCTTGTCGTACAAGTAAATAAAACCCAACGTCGCACTGACTACCACCGTCGTCCCGTACATTCAATTACCCCGACAACTCACGGCCGTTATTCTTTTACAGGGAGTGCATGACGATCCTGAACAATCGCAATTGGGATAATGACATTCACAAGGTGCACTTTGAGAGCGGCGTTCGTATGGGTATCGGTACATTCAATTTGGTACATACACGCAGTTACCTTCGTTAACAACAAAACTGTTGCTCCATTATGAGTACTTTCATTAAAAAGAATTGCCTTCTGTTCCAGTTGATATCAATGTTACCGACGCGAGTTGTCAAGTTGGTGGAATATGTCGGATTCTCCGGCGATAAGGTGACGCATTGATGATGTTATATTATTCCGTAAACCTTTGCTCCCTCTCGAGAGTGTTATTGATTGTCTTATCGACGTCATCGGCAGGAATACGGCCTATCAGAATTGATGACAGGCTACGGACAGAGGACAGGTCTCCGACACATCTTATGCGTGATAACTTTGTTGTCATACCATCTGATCTTCATGTTTATGCTGTGCTACATGGACGGTGATCTGGATTGGTGCGAGCAGGTGTTGAACGAAAAGCTGACGCTCTATCCGAAAGGAGTGTGGTTTTTGTTCTTCAAGGCCAGGCTGGAGTTAAACCGCGGCCATATCGAGGACAGCATAAATTGGTACACTAAGTCATGGAAGAGCCAGACCATGTGGCCGCAGTTCCATCATCTGTGCTTCTGGGAGTTAATGTGGACGAATTGCATGCTACAAGAGTGGAACGAAGCGCTTTCGTTCGCAATGAAGCTTTTGCAAGAGTCTAACTGGTCTCCTACCATCTACTCGTATCAGAAAGCGGCAATCCTCATCATGCAAAAATCGTCGAACTATAGCGATGAACAACTGATAGACAAGCTGATGGTTCAGGTGCCTGTCTACAAGCAACGTATCGCCGGCAAGTCCGTGCCGATAGAGAAGTTCGTGATCAAGAAGGCGGAGCGTTACTTCGCGCAGAAAAAGTTCCTGCTCGTTCCCATGTTTGAAATGATGTATGTATGGAATTTCTTCCGAATACTTGGCAAACGGCCAGACTTGATGCTGGATATATACAAAACACTGGAAGAGGAGGAAAAAGCATTCGAAATGGCACCGTAAGTGTCTTGTACGATCTCTAACTTTTGTTTTATGCAAACGCTTATTAGCACAGTACTGATATAAATAATGCGTGCATGCATATGTGTATGTGAGTAAATAGATAAACGATCTTACGTAAAGTAGGTAAACTGAATGAGCGATCATGCATGAATTATACGCACAAACATTTTTATAGTTGAAGGAAAAAGAAAACAGAAACAAGAAAAAGATGTTGACTTTCACATATGCGCGATATCTCATATAGGAAAAACGAGTTCGACGCAGATAACAGAGCACTGCTGTTGCTACTGAAAGGCGCTTGCCTGCGACAGATGCAGCATCCTCTGCAGTCGGAGGAGTGTCTGCGTCGTGTCCTGCGGCTGGAGAAATCTATTAAAGAGGACACGTACTTAATACCTTATGCTATCGTAGAGTTAGCACTATTGGCCCTGGACCAACATGCCTACAAAGAAGCTGCAAGTTATCTGCAAGATGTCAAGTGAGTGACGAGTTTCCTACAATATTGTTATTACATTAATTTAATGTTGATACCGGGACTCTTTTGATTGGTGCAAAATACAATCAAGTTAATCGTATTTAAATTTCTGTATTTTAGGAAGAACTACACAGGCTATTTATTGGAATCCAGATTGCACCTCAAAGTACATGCGAATTTAATGATGACTGAGAATATGAGCAATGACACACCGGAGGACGAACGAGTAGAATTTACTGCCAATAACTTAGCCGCGGGTCCAAGCACAGTGAGCTTTATAATATATTAAAATAAACTTTCTCTCAACACACACACACACACACACACACACACACACACACACACACACACACACACACACACACACACACACACGCACACGCACACGCACACGCCCACGCGCACGCGCACGCGCACGCGCACGCACACGCACACGCACACGCACACGCACACGCACACGCACACGCACACGCACACGCACACACACACACACACACGCATATATATATATATATATATATATATACCAGATTATAGAAAACTATTAGGTTTACTTTGTTTTAACTACATTCTTGCTGCTGATTCTTCTTTTCCCCAACATCTGAATATATATTTTTATATCATACGCATGATAAGATTTGTGACGACAATCGTTTTATATTTATATTCCATAGTGAGTTGGTGATCCCTCTTTCGAAAGGCCTTGTGCATAGCTTTCCTTCGATGTTACGCTAAGAGAAGGCTCTTACGGATCCATCGGAACCTCTACAATGGTCGGACGGACTTTCGTTAGTAGTGTTCGTAGTGTTCGATATCAAATGTATAAATTATTATATTTTCCTCCACGAGGAGATGAATAAGATAGCGTACGAGGCTCGACAATCCTTCGTGAGGATAAATCGAGATAACTTTATTGTGCAACTGATTATAAATTATATTTCTTTGCAAAATGACGGGGAGAAGATTGCAGTATATTCTACGAAACTTTACGCGAAGGTAGCGCGAAAAGTATATGTTTTATAGGGATTAATATTATTTATATTTACATATTCTATACATAAATAATTTTTTTTCACAAAAAAATCGGTGAGATCTTGAGAGTGAACTGTAATCGTCCAATATAATTGGTGAAAGATTGTTATCAATTGCAATTGACTTGCAAGACTATATATGCTAATATGACTTGGTAATCCTCACTTGGTGATGGATTATGTAGATGGAATAATAAAGTGATTTCTCAAAATAACTGTTTCTCCTCGAGCGAGTTTTTAAGATTATTGTTTATCGTCTATACCAATTTCATAATTTTTCTAAAATTCGCAAAAACTTTATTAAAATATTGGTATTTAATATGGTGAATAAAATAATTAAACAAAAACTATGAAATTTATGACAATAAATGCGAAAAAACATTCCCATCAAAATCATAATTTAATTTTCCCTCCTCTTCTTAAGATACAATTAGAAAAACTTTAATTATTAATTGGTTTTAATTAATATTTATAAAAATGACAAATACATTTGTCGATATATTTTTTACTGATAGGGGAAAAAAGTATTTTTCGAGTTATTTTCGAGTTATTCGCTACCAAATTTGGTATATCCAAGGTCCATAAATAGAGGAACGGGACAAGGTAAGGTCTTCTCACAGCCGTCGTTTTCGAACCAGAGAATCTGTGTTGGTGTATGTGGTACTCCAAAGAAGGAAAGGGGTCATGGGCGGCTTTTAGCCGATGTGTGTGACACGGATAGACCGAGCCGGCTATATGTATGTACAGAGAGGAACGTGAGAGCGACCAACACGGTATTTTCGACGACACCGACTTTCTGCACTGGGAAAGGACGTCATCTATATCCATTTTGAGAGGGGAACTACGATGCTACATCCACTTTCAGGTTTCGGCGGTAAAACCTGTATTTGGTGGCAGTTTATGTTACATCCACTTTTAGGCGGTTTATGTCCGTGCTACAACCATAATAGCGTACTTGACAAGCACGGTCTCGCACATTGTTACGCGTTTATAACATGAATTAACATGTTAACATGTGCAAAAGAAAAAAGAATTGACATTGTATATGATTAATATCATGAAGATCATACGAAGTGTCCGGTAATTAGCTGCTAACCCGAAGTGTGAGGGTAGATTGGGTTGAGACAAATATAAAAGTCCCATTTTGCGAGATTCGCAATAATTATCGAGTTATAAATGACAGAAATCTGAGGAGTAAAAGTGCGCCGACATAGATGATGCGAAAAGTGTTGCAGCTGCTCGGGGCAGCGATCATGAATCTTTTCCCTAGCGTGAACTAATAAAAAGTGAAAGACTTCTGTGAATCAGTGAAAAATGGAAAATTTTATATGAATTTGTGAAAATCGAAACATTTCACACGACAATTGAGTCGTTCAACATGGCACTTGCGCGTTCTGGATAATTCAATGAGTACCAAAGAAATCAAAATGATCAAAATAATAATGTCCGTGTAGTCCGAAGGATATTACGTGACACGCAAAATCCGTTTGATATATTGGGTGAGTGCAAAAGTTCGTGCGGAGTTTGTGAGTAAAAGTCACACAGTGATTAGGCAAACAAAAATCTTTATTCAATCAATGATATATTCTCCATCGTTTTCTATAATCTTTTCCCAACGTTCTGGCAGCATACGGATGCCTCGATCATAAAAACTGCGCGGTTTAGATTCGAAGAACGAAAAGACGCCGTTTTTTAAGGCCTCCAAAGAGTCAAAGTTTTCCCATCTAAATAATTTTGCAATGACCGGAACAAGTGATAGTCAGATGGTGCGATATCTGGAGAATACGGTGAATGCGTTAAGACATCCCATTTCAGGCTCTTCAGTTTGCGCAGCGTCTATTTCGAAACATGTGGTCTGGCGTTGTTGTGATGAAAGACGACTCCCTTGCGATTTGACAAAATCGGCCGTTTCTTTTTTATTTCTCGATTCAGATTGGTTAATTGGCGACAGTACTTGTCCGAATCAACTCTACTGGGAGTAGAGAGCCGTCCATGTAGTGGAAAATGTAGGGTTTTGAGAGGACTTTAATTTGGTGCCAGAACCAGGCCTGTATCTCTAACCGTTTAGGAGATATCGAAGGTTAAAGTTTTCCAAACTTTCTCCGCTGATATCTCCGCTTCTACTGGGAGTAGAGAGTCGCCATTTACGGCAAAATGTAGGGATTTGAGAGGACTTTAATTTGGTGCCAGAACCAGGCCTGTATCTCTAACCGTTTAGGAGATATCGAAGGTTAAAGTTTTACAGCCTTTCTCCGTCGATATCCAGCCTTCCTCCGTCGATATCTCCGCTTCTGCTGGGAGTAGACAGTTGTCCATGTAGTCGAAAATGTAGGGTTTTGAAATGTAGGGTTTTGAAAGGACTTGAATTTGGTGCCAGAACCAGGCCTGTATCTCTAACCGTTTAGGAGATATCGAAGGTTAAAGTTTTCCAACCTTTCTGCGTTGATATCTCCGCTTCTACTGGGAGTAGAGAGTCGTCACTTACGGCAAAATGTAGGGTTTTGAGAGGACTTTAATTTGGTGCCAGAACCAGGCCTGTATCTCTAACCGTTTAGGAGATATCGAAGTTTAAAGTTTTCCAGCCTTTCTCCGTCGATATCCAGCCTTCATCCGTCGATATCTCCGCTTCTGCTGGGAGTAGAGAGTCGTCCATATAGTCGAAAATGTAGGGTTTTGAAATGTAGGGTTTTGAAAGGACTTTAATTTGGTGCCAGAACCAGGCCTGTATCTCTAACCGTTTAGGAGATATCGAAGGTTAAAGTTTTCCAACATTTCTGCGTTGATATCTCCGCTTCTACTGGGAATTGAGAGTCGAGATTTATGGTGAGAATAGGGTTGATACAGGACTATATTGAGGCAAAAGCGCGTTCCTGTATCTTGAGCCGTTTAGGAGATACCGAAGGTTACATTTTCAAATTTTAAGTTAATTTTAATTGAAATTTGAATTTAAATGTTCATATCACCATTCTACTGGGAATTGAGAGTCGAGATTTATGGTGAGAATAGGGTTGATACAGGACTATATTGAGGCAAAAGCGCGTTCCTGTATCTTGAGCCGTTTAGGAGATACCGAAGGTTACATTTTTAAATTTTAAGTTAATTTTAATTGAAATTTGAATTTAAATGTTCATATCTCCGCTTCTACTGGGAATTCAGAGTCGAGATTTATGGTGAGAATAGGGTTGATACAGGACTATATTGAGGCAAAAGCGTGTTCCTGTATCTTGAGCCGTTTAGGAGTTACCGAAGGTTACATTTTTAAATTTTAAGTTAATTTTAATTGAAATTTGAATTTAAATGTTCATATCTCCGCTTCTACTGGGAATTGAGAGTCGAGATTTATGGTGAGAATAGGGTTGATACAGGACTATATTGAGGCAAAAGCGCGTTCCTGTATCTTGAGCCGTTTAGGAGATACCGAAGGTTACATTTTTTTAATTTTAAGTTAATTTTAATTGAAATTTGAATTTAAATGTTCATATCTCCGCTTCTACTGGGAATTGAGAGTCGAGATTTATGGTGAGAAGAGGGTTGATACAGGATTATATTGAGGCAAAAGCGCCAAAAAAGGAAAAAAGAAAAAAAAGGGGGACGAAAAAACTAAATTTTAAGTTAATTTTTAATTGAAATTTTGAATTTAAATGTTCATATCTCCGCTTCTACTGGGAATTGAGAGTCGAGATTTATGGTGGAATGTGAGAATAGGGTTGATACAGGACTATTATTGAGGCAAAAGCGCGTTCCTGTATCTTGAGCCGTTTAGGAGATACCGAAGGTTACATTTTTAAATTTTAAGTTAATTTTAATTGAAATTTGAATTTAAATGTTCATATCTCCGCTTCTACTGGGAATTGAGAGTCGAAATTTATGGTGAGATAGGGTTGATACAGGGACTATATTGAGGCAAAAGCGCGTTCCTGTATCTTGAGCCGTTTAGGAGATACCGAAGGTTACATTTTTAAATTTTAAGTTAATTTTAATTGAAATTTGAATTTAAATGTTCATATCTCGCTTCTACTGGAATTGAGAGTCGAGATTTATGGTGAGAATAGGGTTGATACAGGACTATATTGAGGCAAAAGGCGTTCCTGTATCTTGAGCCGTTTAGGAGATACGAAGGTTACATTTTTAAATTTTAAGTTAATTTTAATTGAAATTTGAATTTAAATGTTCATATCTCCGCTTCTACTGGGAATTGAGAGTCGAAATTTATGGTGAGATAGGGTTGATACAGGATATATTGAGGCAAAAGCGCGTTCCTGTATCTTGAGCCGTTTAGGAGATACGAAGGTTACATTTTTAAATTTTAAGTATATTTTAATTGAAAATTTGAATTAAATGTTCATATCTCCGCTTCTACTGGGAATTGAGAGTCGAGATTTATGGTGAGATAGGGGTTGATACAGGATATATTGAGGCAAAAGCGCGTTCCTGTATCTTGAGCCGTTTAGGAGATACGAAGTTACATTTTTAAATTTTAAGTTAATTTAATTGAAATTTGAATTTAAATGTTCATATCTCCGCTTCTACTGGAATTGAGAGTCGGATTATGATGGTGGAATAGGTTGATACAGGACTATATTGAGGCAAAAGCGCGTTCCTGTATCTTGGCCGCCCTTTAGAGCCGACGATTAATTTAATATAATTTCAAGACCACATCTCATAATAATATGATGAATTAATTTGAAGAATTTTAATAGTTGAATAATTCTGCAGTTTCTGCGTGCTATCTGGGGGATTGAGACATTGATACAATGTATGTATAGGTGGTTGACCAGATACGGGTTAAGTAATATGCAGAGCACTCTATGTAGGAATGAGAGCGAGAGAGCGCGTTTCCTGTATCTTGAGCCGTTTTAGGAGATACGAAGGTTACATTTTTAAATTTTAACGATTAATTTTAATTGAAATTTGAATTTAAATGTTCATATCTCCGTTCTACTGGAGATTGAGAGTCGAAATTTATGGTGGGGATAGGTTGATACCAGGACTATATTGGGGCAAAAGCGCGTCCTGTATCTTGAGCCGTTTAGGAGATACCGAAGGTTACATTTTTAAATTTTACGTTAATTTTAATTGAAATTTGAATTTAAATGTTCATATCTCCGCTCTTCTACTGGGAATTGAGAGTCGAAATTATGGTGGGGATAGGGTTGATACAGGACTATATTGAGGCAACAAAGCGCGTTCCTGTATCTTGAGCCGTTTAGGAGAT